CTGGTTCAGGGTCAGCAGCTGGTCGCGCAACGGTCCCAGGACAGCCACGATGTCGCCCAGGTGCGTCAGGGTCTGCAGCAGCGCGGCGTTCAGCGACGGGGGCGCAGCCTGTGGGGGCGCAACTTGTGGGGGCGCGCGGTCCTCGGGGCTGCCAGGCGGCTCGTCCGGGTCCTCGGGGGCGGGATCCGGCGGCGGTGGGGAGCCCCGAGCGTGGCCGCGTTCGGGGGAGACTGTGCGGAGAGCCGTCTGGGCGGGGGCCGGTGGGGAGCCCGGTGCGCGGCAGGCGTCCGCAGACTTCGGCACGGACGGGCTGAACCTGAGCGCGCAGACGGCGTCCACGTCTGGATCCCGGGCGGCCGGCTGCGGCGAGGCGCCTGAGGAGCGGAGCGCGTGGTGGGTCAGGGACACCGGCGCGTCGCTTCCTCCCCCTCCCCCAGCCTTTCCTCCCGCACATACCTGGGTCGTCTGGGGCGGGCGCAGCGGCGGCCGGGCGGCGGCCGCGCTGGGGGCGTCCGGGTCCAGAGGGGCGGCGGCGGACCCGCCTGCGCCCGTTGTCGCCCAGCAGCCCCATGAGCTCGCGGATCTGTGCGTCGAAGGGCCCGGGCGGCTGGCCCTGTGCGTCGCGGAGCTTGTCCTTGAGGAACTTGTACCGCCGGCGGCACTGCGCTGGCGTGCGCCGCACCTGCTGGCGGGCCAGCGCGGCGGACACGCGGCGATAGGTGGGCAGCGCCTGGCGGCGGTCCAGCAGCAGCGAGCGCCACACGGCCGGCTGCAGCAGCGTGCCCAGCAGCAGCTCAGTCTCCCGGGCGCTCCAGGGCGTGCGCTGTGCCGATCCCGGGGACACGGGCGACTGGGGCGACTCGGGCTCCGCCAGCGCGCCTAGCGTGGTGGGACCCACAGGTGGGGTCCCGGGGCCGTCCCCGGTCGGCCGCAGGTCAGCGTCGGGACTGTCTGGCGACGGCGGCCCCGGAGGCGCGAGCGGTGGCGGCCGCCGGGGACGGAGCAGCATCCCGGAGCCGGGCCGGGGCGCGCGGTTCCGGGGTCGGGGCCTTACCGTAGAGGCGCCCGAGCCGCCCACACGCGCTCTGAGGACCCTGCGCCGCCCTCCGCGTTGGTGCCGGGTCTACGCGACCCTCCCACCGCTGGGCGCCCCGCCCCCGGCTGCCCCGCCCATCAGGCCCGCCGAGTTCTGCTTGGCTTGTCCGTGCGTCTTGGTTTACTTGACTTTACTTATGGACGCCTAGGCCGACAAGTTCACAGAGCAGAGCTCAGCCTCTGTCCGACGTGTAAGAAATTGCAAAAACAATAGGGATCTTAGTGATCTTGTTTTTAAATCCATGTATTGAGGTACAGTATAATACAGAAATACATGTAAGGTCTCAGGGGTCATTTTATTTTTACGCATGTGCCATGCCCTTTAATCACCGCCCATATCCAGCGGTGGAACACTTCCAGCCACAAAAATGGTCGCGCCTGCTTTTCCGACCTCAGTGTTTTTTCCAAATAGTGCTTATCCTGACTCTACTACTCCCACCCCTCTCCCCAGTGTAGTTGTGTGTTTTGGCAAATGCACATCAGGCCTGTTCATTGTACTAATCCAGGCATCAATGGGGTGTTCACCTTGAAGCCAGGCTGCTTCCCTAAGGTAGATAGAGCTTGATCTGATAGAGCATCAGCCCGCTCTTGGGCCTAAAGTCATTCACACACGCTACAGAAAGGGACCATCTTTGGCCTGGTAAAGTGTATTTGTAGCTGTCAATATAGGTAACATAAAGTACTGGGCATTTCCTCTTTGAGACTAGAACCAAGACAAGAATGCCCAACATCACTTTCATCCAACCTTATTCTAGAAGTTCTAGCCAGTGCAGTAAGACAAGAAAAAGAAATAAGATTTATAAAACTGGAAAACAAGCAATAAGATACTCATTCTTTGCAGATGGGAAGACTGTGTACATTGGAACTAAAAAATAATCTCCAGGTCCCCAATGGCAAATGGTGAGAAGATACCATCATTTGTCATTAGAGACCTAGCAAACCGACCCCCCCCCCCCCACCCAAGCCAGACACTGATCACACCCAGTGATGGTGAGGAAGAATGGGTGCTCTCACCAGAGTTGGTGGGGATGCAGAACCGCAGCTACCATTTTTTTTTTTTGATATGAGAGACTGTACCACTTAGTTAGGTCCTTAGCCCTTTTTGTTTTTTTATTTTGAGATAGGGTTTGTGTTGGGAGGCTGCAGAATTGCAGCATATGCAGTCGAGGGGAGAAATAAAGAATGTCCACGCACTTCTGCCCCTTTCAATGGTTTATTCACTCAAATCACTCACTACAGTTTCACTCTATAGGTTCTTAATCAAGAAAACGACAATCCTTAATGCTAGGTACTGCAATAGACATAATCAATTCACAGCAAACAATTCTAGATTAACTCTAAGCACTGCAAAACCTACTTAATCATGATAAGCTAACAACAGACATTTCCTCTGCATGCTAAGTTCAAAAGTCTTAAGCCTTAGGCTTTAAGTCCAGCAGATGCACACTCACTCAGACCACGGTGATCAGGGGTGATCAGGTCCGGAACCAAGGCAGGCCTTTCCTGGCGTGGAGTGGATGACCGGTTGAGGAGGGGGTCATAGGGAGAAGTTGCAGCTCTCACCAAGGTCCAGAGGAGGCGGTAGAGTTTGAGAGCAGTGATCATCACGCAGAGGATCAGGAAAGATGACAATTGATGGGGTGTCAGGTGCTCATCAGGGTCTCCAGCTCGAGTGCATCCTTGTTTTGGCTGGCTGAATTCCTGTCTTTTATACTAAATTTGGGGGCTTTTGACCCCCCTTTCAATCCTTATCAGCTACCACTGGATTTCTGAGTGACATCATTTACCCTGGGGTAGAAACATCTGGTCTGGTGGTCTCCACCCAGATTTTCTCCCCTTCCCTCTTATTAGGCGAGGACAGCCTCCCAGGGGTGAGGGGAAGTAACTTGTTTGAGGTCATGCTGGAGGAATCTGTGGGTGTGCCTAATGAGACTGCAGGTTAAACTGGAGTTTTTAAAATGGAGTAGCTTAGGCTCAGGCTATGGTCATCCAAACAGTTTGCTAAGTTTCTGAGGATCCTCCTGCCTCAGCCTGGTTTACATACAATAGCTACTTTTGGGACAGTCTGGTGGATTCTTGTAAAACTAAAGTATTCTCTCCCGAGGATCCATCAGGCGCGCCCATGGTATTTATCTAGAGAAGCCGAAACCAGACGTCTCCCTAGAACCTGCACAAGGACGTTTATGGACCACAAGGCAGCCCATATCTTGTCCTGTGGGGGAGTAGGATTGGGGATCAGTGGGGTGGATGCTCACTTCCCTAAACATTCCTTTGGAAAGCTGCTGTGTGGGAGCATGATCTGTCCTAAGCTGGGGACCCCAAGTGTGCTTCTCTGTGAGGCAGTCGGGGTCTAGGGAGGTGGGGGCACTGAGCGAGGTGAGGAGTGGCAGGCAGAGGGTGGCTCAAGCCCAGTACCTCCATGAGAGTCATGCTGCCTCTGCAGCCATGAGGTGCTTCCCTGGTGTCCCTGGACTGTGAGAACCCTCAGACAGGAGACCAAGTCTCTAAGAAGGGAGCTGACTAGCTCTACGTCCTGCATGACATTTGGTCATCTGTGGTGTGATGTAATGAGCCACCTTTTCATTAGCTGGTGACTCTGGTCCGGGGCTTGGGTGAGGACCAGGGACTGCTTGCCTGTATCTCTTATGCCTGAGGCAGGTGAGGGCAGCCTCTGGCTGGCCACATGAACCTGGTTTGTCCGGGGCAGTACTACTTTTTCTTTCTTTGATAATTTCTTATTGTTTGTTTGTAGTGCTGGGAATTGAACCCAGGGCTTTATGTGTGCTAGGCAAGCATTCTACCAACTGAGCTATATCTCCCACCCGGGGACAGTATTTCTGGGCTACAGCTTGCTATTTTTGAGGTTCTCAGGCCTTCTCCAGGTGCCCTGTGCTGGTGCCTGGTGGCTCCTAGACGGGGCCCCTGGGGCATGTCTGTCTGTGTAGGCCACCATGTGGCTTCTTGGGCTTGCCACTGGCATGGTGGCCTCAGGGTCCTTGAACCTCCTGTGTGTTGGTGGTGTCCTCTGCTGCCGTGTGCAGGGCAGGCTCCAGTCGGCTAGGAGAGGCACACTCCTGCAGGCTGTACTGGCCCTGGGTTCTCCAGGGTCTAAGTTCACAGACTTGCTGCTCTGATGGGAGACCTTCCTGAGCAGTGTCTTCCAGCCTTGCAGGAGGGGAAGGGGTGGCACACAGGGCTAGGGCTTCAGTGACGTAGGGTGGGTGAGGCCTGGACCACTCACCTGGAATAGCTGCCACATTACTGTCCCATTGTCTTTTTGGCAGATAGCCAGGCAGATAGCAGCATTGTTCATTACAGGAACTTCCTCAGAGCCTCAGTACTTCCATAAAAACACCCAGAGTTCACACTCGAAACTCAGAAGAGCCTTAAGCTCCTCCTTTGGGGTGTCACCAGTCCTAACCGATCACGTGGGCATGAGAGCCCCCACAACAGTGCCCTACCTCACCCCATTCTGAGCCAGGGCCGAAGTCCTGGTGAGGCCTTGCTGGGTGAGCAAGGGATCCACTGTCTCACCTGTGGGCTGTGGGCCACGTTTGGGCTGCCGGGGGAACTGGCTGGGGTGAGCAGGGCACATGGCAGAACGGCCCGAGATGTGGACCTGTTTCCCAGGGTCCACAGTCCTCACTCAGCTTCGCTCCTGCAGCAGGAGGTAGGTTTGCTTTCACATTCCTGGGAATTTAAGGCACTTGGCTTCTGGTAGCACCTAAGTTAGGGTAAGTCTGCCGACCCGGGCCCTCTGGGTGTCACTGAGTGTGCAAGTGTGACCATGTGACGGTGCTGTGGCCTGGCAGTTTGGTTCCAGGCCTGGGCCAGGCACATCTGCTACTGCACATACCTCGCCTTACCCTCGGTGGGGTATGGCTTTGGAATGAGCCACACAGCAATGGCTTGGTAGAAATGACTTTATTCAGAAATCTGTACCGCGTGACATCAGGGTGCCATGCAAACAGTGCTGAAGCCGGAAGCCCGCTGCTTCCCCAGAGACAGTTGGGCTGCTGCTGCGCTGGGCACAGACAAAATCTGAAGACGGCGCTCATCAGCAGGACACCAGGGTCCTCACAGTGAGTCCCTCACACACGCGGAAGCAGGGCTTGGTCCCAGTGGGTTCATGTGGGGAAAACCTCAGCATTGACAGTACAGCACGCAGCTGCCCCTGAAACGTCACTAGTGGCTCACTGGGGCCACCTCCTCTAACACACAGTCTTGGGTCTCACAGCAGGAGGCTCCTGGGATGGCCCATGTGTCTAGCAGGTGAGTCTCCCTGACCCACTGCACTCCACAGGTTCCCAGGCCCCCCGGCTAGAGGGGCTCTCCACTCGCTGAGCCAGTGCTCAATACAGACTGTCTAGACCACAAATTCAGGGAAGGGCTTGGTACCACTGGGCAGCAAGCCTCATGTCCGTGTCTGACAAAGCGCTAGTGCTGGTGCCAAGCAGAGGGACGCGGTGGTCAGGAGTGCACATGCTTGGCAGCTGAAGGCATGGGTAGCCCTGCCGCACTGGCTGTGAGGTGTGCATAGGCGCCTTCAGCTCAGGTGGCCTCCCTGCTCTGGAGCTGCTGTTAGTGCCTCACACCCTGTTCCAGGGCTGAAGCCTTCGCCTGGGCATGTCCCTTAGGGTAGCTGTTCCCAGCTGGGGCACCAGGCATGGGGAGGAGCAGCGGCCACAGCAGGATGGCTGGCTGGGATAGAACTCCTTCCCCCACATGCTGGCACAGTGGGGTGCCCGTGGAAGGCCAGGTGGGTGGGTGGTGGGAGCATGATCCCAGCAGGGCCCAGTCAGAAGCCTGGGAGCTGCTGGTGCAGGGATCAGTTTTGGTCCTTTGCTTCTGGACAGGTGTGGCAACACTGTTCAGTGAGCAGCTGGGTCTGGAATCTGTGGGGTCAGGGATGGATGGGTTTTGGGTTGTTTTGGGCAGGAGTCACCAAAGAATAGAGAGACATTTGTTTATGGAGATATTGTAAATACGAAACTGAAGGAAGTCTACTTATTCTAGTTTCATTTCAAGTTGCAGCAGAAATGGGCTAATAAATGCTATGCCCACCCTGTGCAGTGTCCTGGAGCTGCCGCCTCTGCTGCTGGGTCAGGCTGGAGCAGCTCTGTGCGCCCTGTGGCAGGGCCTTGGGCAAGCTCCTCTGAGCTCCACCTTCAGATCCGGACCTGGTGGAAGTCCAGGTTCTGCGGGGTTCTGGGAATGCAGCTGCCTCCCCCAGCTGGTCCCGCTTGGACCCCCACCGACCAGGTCCTGAGCTACTGGAACGTGGCCTTCATTCTCCGCAGCTTGTCCTGGATCTTCCGAGAGTGCTTCTCGCTCGGGACCTGGTGCAGCTTGGCCCTGTTGTCTGCTGCCAGGATGGCAATGTCGGCCCCGCTGAAGCGGGCGATCCTCTGCTTGAGGTGAGACTGCAGCTTGGGGTCGGGGCTGAACGTGTAGGGGTTCTCCTGGAATGCGTGGACCTGGCTCACCACCTTGGCTATGTTCCTGTGGTGGGGAAGGAAAAGCCACAGTCAGTCTGCACAAGCCACAGGGAGTCGCGTCCCTGTGAATCCTGGTGTGTTCTTAGGAAAGGCTCGAACCCAGCGCTCTCAAAGCATAGACACCAAAGGGCAGGTTTCCTGCCTCTGTTCACAAGGCCTTGGCTCAGGTCCCACGTGGCCTCGCCCACTCTTGGTTCCACAGCGTTTACTGACCCTCTATCAGGCTGCAGAACTGAATGTCCCAGCACGAATGAAACCCAGTGCCAGTGGTCACGGCTCACCGGGGGACGATGCGTACAGATGTGTCCTTGTGTGGTGCCTCTACTCTGTGCTGCAGTGACGCCAGTGGCCAGCATGCCACTGGTTATCAGCTGAGGACTCAGGCCCTTTCGCCTGTCTGGGGGGTCGCAGGCCCCGCAGACAGGCACTCCGCCTGAGTCTGGATGGAGAATCAGTGTGTCCAGCAGGAGTTATGTGGCTTTTGTCCATCAGAGGCCCATGTGTCTACACACATCCACACAGAATCAAGAGAGGTCACCAAGCCTCGGCCCGAGTCCCTTCTAAATGGTGGCACTGCCTTGTGTCATTAGTTCTGTGTACGGAGGCAGGCTTTCTGGTCTCTTATGATAAACTTACATTTGGGATGCATTTTACATTTTTTTTTTTAAGTTGGTGACTGTCTGAATAGGGAGCCACTGTGCACTGGGTCCTCTGGGCCTTGTCTGTCCAGCCAGGCTGCAGCCTGACCAGGTACTCTGACTGCCACGTGGCTGACGCAGAGCACGGGTGAAGATGCGAGCTGAGAAGGTGAGGCTGAGACTGGGGCCTGGGTGTGTCTGCAAGCTATGGCACCTGGAGGGGTACCTGGGACAGGTCCTGGGTCTCTGAGGAGAGGCCACCTGGCCAGCACCTCCTGAGGCAGAATGAGAGCCAGGCTCCTATGAGGCCTGGGTGTGTGGGCTGCTGGAGGGTCATAGCAGTGGGCTTTGTAGCTACTCTCTGGTCCATGCCTCCCAGGCAGCATGTGGATGGCAGTGTGGCAAGGATGCTGGTCAGGGAAACAGCGGGCCCGGGAATGGCTGGAGAACTGACTGGTTCCAACTGATGTCTCGGTGAGGTGCCTCCGGGAGGCCTAGAGAAGGGACACCCAGGCTGGGGCATTCACGTACTGGGAGCCTCTGTGCTGCAGAAGCCAGGGAGGTGATGGTAGGGTGCCTGGGTTCCATCAGGAGGTCACTCGAGAATGTGGGGCATTTAGGGACCGTGGATACCGGCAGTACCGGAATCACACTGTTTTTTGAGAAGTGCTGAGGCCCTGGGGCAGGGCAAGGGCTGAGACAGGGTAAATGCCCTGGCCTCTGAGCTCCATCTGTAAGCCTGGACTCTTATGCTCTGGGCACAGAATGCCGACAGCCAGAGAGCAGGAGGAACTGGAGGAGGGGTGCACCTGAGACTGTTCACCTGTGGGCTCCATTGGTCATGGTGAAGCCTTCACCTGTGCCTGCTCACCTGTGGGCTCCATTGGTCATGGTGAAGCCCCCAACTGAGCCTGCTCACCTGTGGGCACTGTTGGTCATGGTGAAACTCTCCCACCTAGTCAGCTCACCTGTGGGCTCTGTTGGTCATGCTGAGCCCCCTTACCTGAGCTTGCTCCACCTGTGGGCTCCATTGGTCATGGTGAAGCCCCCTGTCTCCAGCTGCTGAATGTGCATGGCCAGGAGGCGGGCTGAGGGCAGGGTGGGCTGGGCTCGAAAGCGCCGACCTTCCATCAGACACAGGCTGTCGCTCTTCAGGAACACCTGGTGGCCCAGCCAGGGGTGTCAGCAGGAAGTCAGGGCAGCCTGTGTACTGGCTGTGTGTGGGGGGGTGCTGCACAGCACTCTGACTGCACATTTAGTTCAACATGAACCTGGGGTTCCTGGACTGAGGGTTGTAAGCCTGGACTCTTATGCACTGGGCACAGAATGCCGACAGCCAGAGAGCTCTGAGCTGCTCTAACGGCAAATTCCTTATTCTCTGCTGGGCTCCTAAAGAGCCAGGAGCCCGACCTTCCCAAATGAGACCCATGCTGGCAGGTAGTGCAGCCCCGTGATTGTGTTTGCAGTGAGGACACACCAGCCCGCCCACGTGGATGCTGACAGTTGAGGCTCTGGCTGCCCCACTTTGGAAAAGTCCAGGTCACTTCTACAGTGTTTTCTGCTGATTATCCTCCGGGGCCCCCTGGGTGCCTAGAGCAGGTCTCTCAGTCAGCCGTGCTCAGGTCCCACTTCCAACCTGGGTTGGTGCCCTGTGCCAGGAAGGCAGCCCAGCCAGGCCATGTGACCTGGCAGGTGGGGCCCCTTTGCCTAGGTGACCAGGCTGTGTCTGGGGTCCTGACATGGGCTGTGTGGGTGGGTGCCCTGCAGGGTGTGCAGTAAGGCCTGAGGTTGGAAGCTCTGTGGTCAGTACCTCCACGGCTTTCAGCTCCTCCAGGACCTCTGCGATCTTGGCAGGCAGCATTCTCCAGGCCTGCAATGGAAGCGCAGGTGAGACCCCTGCTGGCCGTGTGCCTTCCACCCACCCATGGCCATGGCCCAGGTGCACGCACAGGAGACTGCCTCACAGCCAGGTTCTCTAGCCCACCCAGGATCTGCATAGCTGTGGCGAAGTTCCTCTGCTCATAGCAAGACTTGGCCACCAGTAGAAACTTGGACAGCACGTTCACCTGCAGCTGAAACAAGGAAGCAACAAGTTCAGTGTCTGGGAGCAGCGGCGGGGGGGTGGGCAGCTCAGTGGAGAGGCTTGCCCAACACGCACGGGCGCTGGACTCCACCCCCAGCACTGCAGAACCAGGCCCAACAGAGAGAAGCAGATGTTGTGAGCAGGTTAACCAAGGTTCAAGGCACAGAGTGGTATGGCTGGGTCATTTGTACAAAAAGAAGGTGGGTGGGGTTCACAGGTCTATAGTGGTGGTGGCTGTGGGGGCTCCGCTGGCAGTGGGGTGGGCTTCGCTTGACCAGCCAGCTCCCACCAGGGTTCTCTGCAGTCTGGTGTGGTCCCTCCATCCCCTGCCTCCATTCCCTCCCTCCGCCCCCTCCTTCTATCCCCTCCCTCTGTCCCCTGCCTCTTTTAGTCCTGTCTCCTGCCCATCTCTTGCCTCCAGCAATGGGTGGCTTCTCACACCTTCTCACCACACACCACGTGGCTGCATTCATGGACCCACTTCCAGCCACTTGAAGACCTGGAGAATCTGGCTCGTCCTTGGTTTCTGAGCTGCCCTGCCCTTGTGGCCAAGATGGGCACCCTTCAGGTGGGAACAGGACGTGTGCTGGACACCTTGCACCAGGTGTGACCAGGTCTGCTTTGGTCCTGCCTGGCGAGGGTCAGCCCTACTTCAGGAAGTCCTTGGTGACCAGTTCTGCCGTGGTCCTGTGGGGTAAGGGTTAGCCTTGCCCCAGAGGTCCTTGGTGACTAGCCTCTGGCTATCAGCTTGAGCCTCTTAAAGAGTCTTCAAAGATTCTCACTTGCTCATAATTTGTAAGTTAACATCTCAATTTTATTCTTCATAGATACAAGGTATATCATTTTCAGTGTTTTCAGATAAAAATCATTCTATCACTTTTTTTTTGTTTTTAATTCTTTTCCCCTCAGTGCTGAGGATCAAACCCCAAAACCCCAGGGCCTCACACCTGCAGGCCATCACTCTACCACTGAGCCACATCCCCGGTCTGGTTTTTAATTGTAAAAACGCATAGTTATGGCTGTGGTGGTACAGTCTGTAATCCTAGGGACTCAGGAGACTGAAGCCGGAGGATCGGCAGTTTGAGGCCAGTATGGGCAATTTAGTGAGACCTTGTTTCAAAATAAAAAAGGGCTGGGGATGTAGCTCAGTAGTGAAGTCTCCCTGGGTTCAACCTTCAGCACAGGAAAACCACAATAGAACACAGAGAGTTGTAATGTTCCCTGGGCTGTCCTCAGCGGTCCTCCCCCAGCATCCCACCCAGCCAGATGCTCTGTTAAAGAAGCCTCTTCCTCCCCGGCCCCTGGCGGCCCTGGCCAGCCTTGTGTCTGGGGCTTGGGCCCTCAGGTGCTGCCCATGCTCATGATGGAGCCTGCAGGCACTTCCTTTCTGTCTGGCTCTGTCTCTTGTGTGCGGTCCTCAGCTCTGCCACCTTGGGGTGTGCCAGAACTCCCTCCTTCTCAAGGTTAGATGGTGTTTCTGGATGTGTGTCCTCATCTGGCCCCCATCTGTGGACATTCAGCCCTGGGCTAGTGGGACCAGGGTCGCGGGCCTGCCAGGCAGGGATTCTCCACTGAGCTACATCCTCAGCCCACTCCACTAAAATAAAAATCCTGTTTTGCTTTCAAACCTACCACTATTCATCTAAGAAAAAGACAGAGTTCATTAAGGTGAGAAATTTCACACCGTCTCTTCTCTTGTCTTTCCACCCCTACCCCAAGCATTAGGTAGAGTGCCGCTGGTGGCCAGCAGCCTCTCTGGCTGGGAGGGGCTCAGAGGGGACTGTATATCAACCAGAGCTAACGTTGACTCCATTATGCTTTCTGTCAATTTCTGTATTTTAACAATGTTCTGGGAACATGAGTTTGCAAATGTAAAACTCAGCTTTGTTCTGAGTTACACCACTGGCACCACAATAAGTGGAATGCAGAGATGTGAAAACCATGTAGACTTCAGATTGTGCTGAGCACACTGGACAGAGAGACCCTGGCAATTTTGCGGGGAACACTTCCCTGGGGAGACTGTGTCTGTGTCCTGTCTCAGAGAATTGTTCCTTTCAGGGGGTTCTGCTCCTCCTGGTGGTTCTCCTCTTCCTGGTGGTTCTCCTCCTCCTGGTGGTTCTGCTCCTTCCTGGTGGTTCTGCTCCTCCTGGTGGTTCTGCTCCTCCTGGTGGTTCTGCTCCTCCTGGTGGTTCTCCTCCTCCTGGTGGTTCTGCTCCTCCTGGTGGTTCTCCTCCTCCTGGTGGTTCTGCTCCTCCTGGTGGTTCTGCTCCTTCCTGGTGGTTCTCCTCCTCCTGGTGGTTCTCCTCCTCCTGGTGGTTCTGCTCCTCCTGGTGGTTCTCCTCCTCCTGGTGGTTCTGCTCCTCCTGGTGGTTCTCCTCCTCCTGGTGGTTCTGCTCCTCCTGGTGGTTCTCCTCCTCCTGGTGGTTCTCCTCCTCCTGGTGGTTCTGCTCCTCCTGGTGGTTCTCCTCCTCCTGGTGGTTCTCCTCCTCCTGGTGGTTCTCCTCCTCCTGGTGGTTCTGCTCCTCCTGGTGGTTCTCCTCCTCCTGGTGGTTCTCCTCCTCCTGGTGGTTCTCCTCCTCCTGGTGGTTCTCCTCCTCCTGGTGGTTCTGCTCCTCCTGGTGGTTCTCCTCCTCCTGGTGGTTCTGCTCCTTCCTGGTGGTTCTCCTCCTCCTGGTGGTTCTCCTCCTCCTGGTGGTTCTCCTCCTCCTGGTGGTTCTCCTCCTCCTGGTGGTTCTGCTCCTCCTGGTGGTTCTCCTCCTCCTGGTGGTTCTCCTCCTCCTGGTGGTTCTCCTCCTCCTGGTGGTTCTGCTCCTCCTGGTGGTTCTCCTCCTCCTGGTGGTTCTGCTCATCCTGGTGGTTCTCCTCCTCCTGGTGGTTCTCCTCTTCCTGGTGGTTCTGCTCCTCCTGGTGGTTCTCCTCTTCCTGGTGGTTCTCCTCCTCCTGGTGGTTCTGCTCCTCCTGGTGGTTCTCCTCCTTCCTGGTGGTTCTGCTCCTCCTGGTGGTTCTGCTCCTCCTGGTGGTTCTCCTCCTCCTGGTGGTTCTGCTCCTCCTGGTGGTTCTCCTCCTCCTGGTGGTTCTCCTCCTCCTGGTGGTTCTCCTCCTCCTGGTGGTTCTGCTCCTCCTGGTGGTTCTGCTCCTCCTGGTGGTTCTCCTCCTCCTGGTGGTTCTGCTCCTCCTGGTGGTTCTCCTCCTCCTGGTGGTTCTGCTCCTTCCTGGTGGTTCTCCTCTTCCTGGTGGTTCTCCTCCTCCTGGTGGTTCTCCTCCTCCTGGTGGTTCTCCTCCTCCTCGTGGTTCTCCTCCTTCCTGGTGGTTCTGCTCCTCCTGGTGGTTCTGCTCCTCCTGGTGGTTCTGCTCCTTCCTGGTGGTTCTGCTCCTCCTGGTGGTTCTGCTCCTTCCTGGTGGTTCTGCTCCTCCTGGTGGTTCTGCTCCTCCTGGTGGTTCTGCTCCTCCTGGTGGTTCTCCTCCTCCTGGTGGTTCTGCTCCTTCCTGGTGGTTCTGCTCCTCCTGGTGGTTCTCCTCCTCCTGGTGGTTCTGCTCCTCCTGGTGGTTCTGCTCCTCCTGGTGGTTCTGCTCCTTCCTGGTGGTTCTGCTCCTTCCTGGTGGTTCTGCTCCTCCTGGTGGTTCTGCTCCTCCTGGTGGTTCTGCTCCTCCTGGTGGTTCTGCTCCTTCCCTGGTGGTTCTCCTCTTCCTGGTGGTTCTGCTCCTTCCTGGTGGTTCTCCTCCTCCTGGTGGTTCTGCTCCTTCCTGCAGCTCTGTGGTTCTGGTTCTGGTTCTGGGGTGGAGGATGATGCTCAAGAGTTTTGCTGATGTGGCGTCATGGGTGGCTTTTGCCCTCCCATGCTGGGAGTCACTGTCCTGTTGCCTGCAGATTTCCCTCTGCCCACCCGTGTCTTGCGAGCTGGGCGTTGTTTACCCAGATGGACAGCTCTTCCTGCCACCTTGGGCTGAGTGCAGCAGGTGACAAGCCGCCTCTCTGGCTAGCAGGGGGCCATCCTCCACCTTCCCGGCAGCTCGGCTTGAGAGGGGCCTGAATGCTGAGGTCTGCAAGGTGATTGTCACCATTGTTTCTCTGGTCCTATGAATCCCAGCCACATAGGCCCCATTGGAAGAGCCTGACAACCAGTGTCATGTGATGTTTGTGACGTTGTGGATCAGAGGACACTGATCAGCCAGGCCCTGTTCCTTGTGCTGGTGAAGACAGTGGGTTGTGTGGCTGATGAGTGTGCGGCGGCGGGGACAGCCTGTGAAGCCCAGGCCTGGGAACTCTGTTCCTGTGGGCTGCTGGGGTTGGGTGGTTTGCCTCAGGGAACCTGAGTTGGAGGCTTGATCCCCAGGGTGGCCCTTCAGGAGGTTGGGGTTGAGGGACCCGTCGCAGAAGGTTCAAGGCACTCTCGGGGGGGGGCCCCTCTGGCTGCCTTGAGTGGCAGTGGCAAAGCCCCAGCCTGGGCCCTCTGCTCCCTGGATCCTGTCTGGCCATTTCTCGTTCACCCCACCAGCACCCCTCCACCTCTGCCACTGTGATGTCAAGGCCACAAGAGTCCAGCTGATGCAGGTGCCAGGCATTTGAACCTCTTCATAAACAGCCTCCCTCTACTGACTGACACGTGAGCCTCAGTTGCTCCACAGGGACCGTGGCTCTGAGAGACTGCGGAGAGGAAGAGCCCACAGTGGAGGCTGCTTTGGAGTCCAGCAGGGCCTGGACCTCTGGGCTCCAGGGCAGCCCTGGTCGACACCATCCCAACTCTGAATTTCCTGTGGTGCACCCAGCCCACGCCAGAGCCATGCTGGCGAGCATGCCGGGGGCCTGTGTCTGGGTCCAGGTCTGCTTCAAGGGAGCTGCGGCCCTGGTGGTGCGTGCTCACTGTGACCTGAAGTCACTGTCCTCTTGCTGTAGGAGACAGGGCCACATTGCACAGGAGCCCTCGTACCCTGATGCCTGTCCTCTGCCTGCCGGTGTGGCCACCTCACAGGAGAAGAACCTAGCTAACCCCAGCTCACAGAAAGCCAGGTCCTGTGGACCTCCATCCAGGGAACTGGAGGCCCTTGCAGTGGGGAGCTTGCTGCATGAAGGTGCAGACCCCTCAGGCCCGAGGCTGGACACTGGGCTCTTCCTGGGTGGAGGGTGGTCCCTGCTGGGCTGCCAGGAGCCCCCTGAGAGCAGGTGGTCAGGTTGGGCTGAGAAGCTGTTGGGCAGACCCAAGGCCTGTGGGACTTTGGAACCTTGGATTTGGCCACAGCAGCTGGAGCTGGACCCTGTCCTGGCCAGAACACTGAGCTAAGAACATTCCAAAAGGGCTGAGGTCTGCAGCAGGAGCATGGGCTGCAGGCAAGGAGTTTATGGCTGCCTTAGAGGAGCTCTGGGCAGGGCGGGGTAGTCACAACCCTGCCCCGGGGCAGGACAGGCACAGGTGTGAGGGCCGCCTGGCCAAGGGCTTGCTCTAACGGAGCCCTGTGGGAGGGTGTGTGCAGGACTGGGGACTGTGTGTGTGAGAGGGCCCTGTTGGAGGGTGTGTGTGTGTGTGTGTGTGTGAAGGATAGTGTGTAAGTCAGGCCGTGTGAGCGTTTGAGTGTGTAGGAAGGAATGTGTGTGGGTGTGTAACAGGGAATGTGTGTAAGAGGGCCCTGTCACAGGGGCTGTGAGTGTGAGAGTGGGAATGTGAGAGGGCCTTGCCGGAGGGGCTGTGTATGTATGTGAGAGGGAAAGTGTAAGAGTGCCCTATCAGGCCGTGTGAGTGTTTAAGTGTGTGAGAGGGAATGTGTGTGAGTGTGAGAGGGAATGTGTGTAAGACGGCCCTGTCACAGGGACCATGTGAGTGTGTAAGAGGGCCCTGTTGGAGGGGCCATGTATGAGTGTGTGAGAGGGAATGTGTTTAAGAGGGGCCTGTTGGAGGGGCCATGTGTGAGTGTGAGTGTGACTGTGTAAGAGGGTCCTGTCACAGGGGCCGTGTGTGTGAGTGTGTGAGAGAGAATGTGTGTAAGAGGGTCCTGTTGGTGGGGCCGTGTGTGTGTCAGAAGGTCCCTGTTGGAGGGGCTGTGTGAGTGTGTGTAAGAGGGCCCTGTCGCAGGGGCTGTATGTGTCTGCGGGTCTGTGTGTAAAGGACCATGTGTGAGAGGGATGTGAGTGTGAGCACTAGCGTGGCCGGTGTTTCTGGGCAGGGTCCACATGTCCTGGTGTCCTGTAGCCCACAGCGCTGGAGCTTCTGCAGAGGAGGAAGGGTCGGCCTGGTAATGTGACGGCCATGCCCGTCTGGCCCCTTTGACTTGGGTTGAGTGTTGCTGTGAGGGACAGGAAGTGTGGGCTCCCTGCCCCTGGAGAAGGGGCCGGCTATGGGCCCGATGCCCGTGGGTCCACGCCTCTCTCTGACCTCAGCCAGGAGGTGCCTACCTTGGAGGTGTGGCTGGTCACGATCTCGGCAGCCACCCAGGTGCTGACGTCGTCTGCGTTTCTTAAAAGCTGTAGCAGGTACTTGTCCTGGATGTAACTGGGCAGAAACAGGCTGCAGGTTTGGGCAGACAGAGACTCGGAAGAGCTGGCTCTGGGGAGAACACGGAGCACTTCACCTGGGGATGGGGCTGGTGGCCCCTCCCGGCCCCGGGGCGTGCGGAGCCTCTCTGCAGCCAGGAGCAGCCAGGAGGCACTTGGGGGAGGCCCCCGAACCCTCCACCAGACCTCTGGGCCTGGGACTCCATGACCACTCACTTGGGGATGGTTCCACTTGTGTCCATGACACCCAGGGCCCGTGAGTTCAGGAAGTGGACGGGGTGGCACTTTTGAAACAGTTCCTGCCGGGACATAGAAGCAGATGGTCAGGCCACTGTCCCCAAGGGCCTGTAAACCACGGCAGTGTCCCAAGGAGGGCTGGATATTTCGTGTCGTCTCTTGGAGTATAGGGTGACCTATGCAATGGGCCAGTGTGCCATGAACTTGACCAACAAGCTCCCGTGCTCAGTCCTTGGGGCCGGTGACATGGCCAACCCTGATAATGGTAGGATTTCTTGGCATTTCTGTCACCTGCCTTATGGTATCCTAGGACAGCAGGGGGTCATGGAGGGGCTCCTGGGCTCTGGACCCAGGCCAGGAGCAGAGAGAGGAATTGGGCAAGGGCATGAGGAGCTGTGCTGACCCAGGTCCAGAGTGTGGTGGCCAGTATGTGGTGACCTGTGTGCCATCTGTGTGCCCTGAGCAGCTGGAGAGGAGGGTCCAGCTTGGCTGGAGACCAGTTCTGACCCTGACTCCAGCCTCCCCACTCTTGGAAGCTGCTCCTTGGGACCTGCGTTCCTGGCAGCCAGGTCCCTCTTTGACTGTCCCATCTATTGCTCAGGAAGTGTCTGCTGAGGCCCATGATGCCAGATTGTCCCTGGTTTGCCCCTTGCTGCCTGTGGCCAGCCCAGTATGGGTCCTCTGCCCCCTCCTGGTGCCCGCAGCCCCCACGCACCTGTTGCAGCAGCGTCAGCTGAGTGAAGAGCTGGTGCGTGCTGTACTCTGTCAGGAAGTAGGACCCCTTCCCGCTAGCTTTGGTGTAGGGGCCGTAGAAGTCCTCGAAGAAGCAGGGCTTGGGCAAGGCAGACGCAATGGTGTACTGGCGCTCCCTGTGGTGTGGCAGGGTCAGCCCGTTGCCCCGGGGCAGTCTCCAGGAGAAGCTCTGCGGGCAAGCCAGGTCCCCTCTAGGTCAGGCAGGCCAGGTGGGGGGGGGGCGCTGGGTGAGGACAGGCAGGGTCCTGCCCAGGGCTCTTCAGACTGGCTCAGCCAGAGTCAGAGAGCAAATCCCTCCCATTCACTCTTAGAACAAAGACCACTGTCCTGGGTTCTTCCACCCAGGCCTCCCACCCAAAGGTCAGAGAGGCGTTGGCTAGGCACAGTAGGACCCACCTCATGGGAGTGCGTGGTGGGCCCCTCCACTGCCCTTGCCCAGGGCAAGGGACCAGCCCCAAAGAGGAATGTGCATAGAGAGCATGTGTGTGCACATGTGTACACACACGTGAGTGCAGGTCCATGCGCACAGTGCGCACATATACACACATGCATGCACGTGCAGATCTGTGTATGCAAGTGTGTTCCTGTATGTGCACACTGTCTTCCAGATCGTGTGTGCACATGCATGCATTCTCTGGATGTCTATGCATGTGCATGTGAGCACTTGCACACCATGTCCTCCAGGTGGGTCTCAGGGAACATCATCTGCCCATACAGTGAAGCCCTTCCCTGGGAAATGCCCCCACCTTCCTGGAGATGCCATCCTCTGAGAACCTCTTGCAGAGGGCATTGAAGGGTCTGGTGTCCTCCTCAGCCTCCTTGGGATCCTCTAGGTCTGTGCTGCGAGGGGAACCGTCAGCCCGCCGGTCAGTGCCCACTTCTAGGAGGCCCAGCAGGTGCTCAGCAGAACCGTCCAGGGGCAGGATCTAAGCAGAAGCATGGCAGGGGTGGGGTCAGGGCAGCGCCTCCCTCTGTGCAGCCTGGGGTGCTGGCTGGCCAGAGGTGCAGTGGCCACCTTAGAGGAGATGAAGTCCTCCAGCCGCCCCAGCAGCCCTGCATTCCTGGTGAAGTCCACGGTGTAGCAGTCCTCCACCCAGGCCTGCAGCACGCAGAGGCTCCGCCTGTAGATCTTGGTGAAGGTCGAGGTGGGGTCCTCGTGGGCCCTGGAGGGAGACAGGATGCCTGTGGTGGGGCACCCAGCTTGTGTGGGTGAGGGGCATGCGGGGTGTAGGGGTGATGACCGGCCAGGCCAGAGACGAGGCCAGAGCTTTCCCCATAGCCCTCTGCCCCTCTCCAGCCCCTGTCACTGGCCCTGCTGCCCTGGAGAGGGAGGCTGAGGCAAGCAGGCCTCTACCCCCGCTTGGCTGTCCTCTGCTGGGGGTGGGCTTGGCTCTCCCCTGGGCCAGCAGGAAGGGGCCAGCCCTCGCCAACCGGGCTGCCTCCCAGGGCACCCAGATGTGCTGGCCACTGCCCTGCACCCTGCTGCTCTGCGTCCCAGCCTTGGCCTTCCCTGGTGAGGCTCTCCTGTGCCCAGTCCCTCTTGGGGTCACCTGGGGCCACCTTGCCCTTTACAGGGCCCTCTCCACAGCCTGTCCCAATTGGTGGTACCTGGACAGGGTGCTGCTGATGCGGTCCAGGAGGAAGTGCAGGAAGTCCTGTGGTGTGCAGAAGTACCGGAAGGTGTACAGGAACTGCTGGACGTAGCCCTCCAGGAAGGCATCGCTGGGGAGAGAGCCACAGCCTGGAGCCTGGGCCTCAGGGGTCTCTCCCTGATCTGGATTCACCTGTGCTGACGATGGGGGGGGGTCCTGGGGCGAGCGTGAGTGTGTGAGGGAGTGTGGCTGTGTGGCTGTGGGCTCTGAGAAGGAGAACCTCTGTGTGAGCTGTGTGCTCCTGGGTGTGGATGGGGGAGCTCTAGGCAGCTCAGATGCCCCTGGGGTCCTGCATCCCTGAAGTCCCCAGCCTTCCTGATGTACAGCACCAGGCCCCCGTCCCAACTCCGCAGGCCGCCTCTGAGGGCTGCACTCGGGTGCTCAGGGAGCCGCACCTGGACGGAGCACCATGCTCACAGTGTCCTCACTGGGTGTCCCAGCTGGGGACACTGACTGGAGCCCCACAGGTGGGCAGGGGGCGGGGGAGGGCTGACAGGGTGCTGCCCAGGTCCAGGGAGGAGTCCAGGGCTGAGACATTGTGTCCACCATAGGGGACCCCCTAGGGGACGAGGACCCTCATGGCCACAGCCCAGGGGGGGACTAGACAGCCGCTGGCTCAGCTGGCCCTGCAAAGGTGATGCTTCTCAGAGCTGGGCAGAGGCCCTCGTGCCTCGTGAGCATTCACCAGGGCCCCGCCCACTACAGTGCTGAGCTCCCACACGCACCACACCCTTGCGTGTACACCAAGCATGCATGCCACACATCACGACTACACCACACAGCACCCCAGTGTGCACTGTGTGTGTGCAAGCTTGCACATAACTCATGCACAATCACACAGTACCCATGTTACCCAACACATCATCCACATGCACACATGTACCACAATACCACATAAGGCCCCACATACCACACGACACAGTACACATCACACATCACATGCACCACACCATACATCACAGACACAGCACATGCCCATGAACGCACATCGCTCTATACACACTTGGAGCACAGCACACCCCTGAAGCTGGCAGCAGGCCCCATGGTGGGCATGACTGCACCCTCCTGCAGGCAAGGGGAGGCTGAGTTGAGGGTCAGCCTGGAGTCCCAGCAGGCAGGAGGCCCCAGCATGACTGGGTGAGTGCTCCTGGGAGACAGGGCTGGTGGGAAGGAGGCAGCTGTGCCAGGAGGCCTGGGTCTCTAGAGGGAATCCTGTTCCTTGACTGTCCTCTCTGGGCCCTGCTGATACACAATGATCAGGTCTGGGGTTGCCACAGCCCCTGACCCAGAGGATGCAATGGTGTAGAGCCTGGGAGGAGCCCTGTCATCTGGGAAAGCCCAGGTGATCCATCTGCCCCCATGTCTAGTGTGGGTCGTGCCATCGGGGGAAGAGAGCCTGTGGGAGGCCTGGTGCCTGGGAACCTGGTGACCCTGCCAGGCCAGAGGGCATGGGGCTGGTGTGTGGGAGAGGTGGGCACGTAGCCACAGATGGCTCTGCAGCCCTGGCAGAGGGAGTGGGTTCCAGGGCTCTTCCCTTGCTTCCTGGTGGTCACTCAGGGCATCTGACAGCAAAACAGAGCTCACACCAGAGGCTGGGGTGCAGCAATGCACACTCAGTGCTGAGCCCAACCCAGGCCTTGCTCCAGGGGTTATGGCAGAGGGCGTGTCCACCCCTCTGGGCCGTACCAGGCTCCCGTGAGCATTCGTGTTGGAAGCCCAACGGCGTGCTCATCATGCAGCCTGTTCTCCACTCTCCCAGGACAACCTTCTGGGTACACCCTGAGACCCGAGGCCGGGGCATCTGCAGAAACGGCTGAGGCTACTTGGCACAGTGAACACAGGTCAAATGAGCAAACATTTTCCTGAATGAAAGAACAACCCAGCTTAGATGGGGCTTTCCCTGCCTCTTCTGGGGCCTGTTTCCTTTTCCTGAATGAGCTCTTCCCGCCCCTGCTCTCAACCTCGTGCCCAAGGATCGGCAGGCACCTCCCCGGGCACCTGTGCGCACCTGGAGTAGAGGTAGGCCATGAGCCCCAGTGGCGTGCCAGCCTGCAGGATGCGGGCCTTCTGCTGCCGGCCCCCACGCGGGGGCTTGTTGACGTTGTAGAAGATGAGGGAGGAGGACGCGTCCAGGGGGCTGAAGTCCAGTGTGTCGCAGGGGGCTGCCGCGATGTTCACGATCACTGGCAGGGCGCAGGGCTCCAGGCCCCAGCGCTCTGCGTACATGACCTGGAGGAGGGCCGAGTCACCGTCACGGCTGGCCGCGCTCACCCTGCCTCTGTGCCCCGGGAGGGAACCTGGGTGCCATGTGCCGCGCAGGGGAAGGGCCTTGCCTGCAGGTACTTCTTGACCAGGCTGAGGAACTGCACCTTGGCCTTCATCTCCTCCAGCTGCCCTCGCAGCTTGGACAGCATGGTTTTCACCTCGGAGCCTGTGGGGCAGAGCGGTTGGCACTGGTGGCCCCCAGGCCCCGGGCTGGCCTGGCTGTCGGCTTGGGCTTACCTTTGTTGCGCTTTTCCTTCTGCAAGAGCTTCTGGTAGAACTTCCAGGTCTTCCGGTAGTTTCTCTTCTCTATCAGGAGATGCTGCTCCAGCTCCTAAGAGGAAGCACACAGTGTCAGCCCAACTGCCAGCCCGGGGCAACGGTAGCCGGAGCCACCCTGGCCGTCACATGAGGCCAAGGCCAGGGGGACATGCCTGGAGGGCTGATAAAGCTGTCCTGTCAACTGAGGAGAAAGGGATGGGAGGAGGTGCCTCCACGGAGCACTGAAACAGGGCAGCCAGTGGTGTGTCACCTTACAGTGACCATCACCCCAAGGGGCACCTCATCCACGAGCTCTGGTCTGCCCCTCCCCCCACCAGGGGCCCTGTTTGGGACATGTCCACTCCTCCTGAGATCTTGCTCCCCTCTTCCTCCAGGCCAGGGCAGCAGGGCTTGCCCCTGCCCTTAGTGGCCTCTCCAGATGAACATGTGTGCCTATGAGTGTTTCTCCTGAACCTGTCTGGAATCCAGGTTCCTGCCCCAGAAGACAGCAGGGCTCACCTGAGTCAGGGTGATCAGTCCTTGCAGGCATCAGTCCACCTCCATGAGGGCAGCAGGACTGGGGCCAGACCCCCCTGCCCTGGGCTTTGCTCGAGGCACCCTATACCAGGTGGGTCTGAGCTATTCCTGGGATGAGGTGGGGTTTTTTTTGTACCAGGGATTGAACCCAGGGGCACTTAACCACTGAGCCACATCCACGGCCATTTTAATTTTTGTTTTGAGACAGGGTCTCACTAAGTTGCTTAGGGCCTTGCTAAGTTGCTAGGGCTGACTTTGAACTAGTGATCCTCCTGCCTCAGCCTCCTGAGCTGCTGGGATTACAGGAGTGTGCCATTGTGCCTGGCTGGATAAGATGTTTCGAGGGTTCATTTGACATTCAGGAGGAGGATGCCTTACTCTCCCAGGACACCTCTGTAGCCTGGCAGGCAGCTCCCCTCCAGGTACTATGTCCCCTCTGTCCCATGGCCTGAGACATGGCCTCCCTAATTGCACCCAGGGGCCTTGGGCCCAGCTGGATGGGCTGGGCTGGGGTGAGTTTGGGCCCTCAGCTGGGACTGAGCCTGGGCTGTCCCCATAGGGAATGGGGTGTGGGCCAGTGGGCAGCTCCACGATGGTCAATGTGGACAGGCCCAGGCAGCTGTAGAGGGTCCAGACCCAGCAGAACCTGAGTCTTGCTGTCAAGCCAGGTGGTGCCAAGACCTCCGGCCCTGCCACAGCTTGGCCGAGGCACACTCCGGGCAGGGTCTGTCTCCATGGAAATGTACTGGAGAACACTGGTGTGGACCACGTGAGGACCCCATGCAAGGGCCTTTGCTGGCACTGCCCCAGAGCTGCTGAGCATCACCTTCCCAGGGGTGGAGGAGAGCCTGGGTCTGACATCCCACAGCCAGGCTTCCAGTCCGCCTCCCCTCAATGGCAGTCTGAACCAGCTCTCTTTTGTGGTGGGGAGTAGGACGGGTCCCAGCCTGTGCCATGGCTGCGTGCCCAAAGCCTGGGCCTCCCACTTGGAGCCACATGAGGCTATCTAGATTATTAACATGAAATAAAACTGAAGTGCCAGTTCCTTAGCCACACGAGTAGCACTCAAGTGCTTAGAAACTGCATGTGGTGGCTCCCTGTACACAGTGCAGACCCAGAACATCTTGTCCTGGGGAAGACCAGGGCACCTCATAGGTCGAGGCTGGTAACTGCAGCCTCCCGAGCTGTGTGCACAGGCTGTATCCAGCTGTCTGCTGGCTGGAGCCAGGCCAGAGGTCTTCACAGCTGTGATCCTGGCCTCTGAGGAGGGGGGCCATGGCCCCAGGGCTGTGCGGCTCCTGTCTGTCCCTGGAGGTCACCCTGTACCGGGTTCTGTCTGCCCTGCCGTCTCTTGTCTGCAGTGGAGGTGCTGATGTTGACAAATCCTTGGGGAGGGTTTGTGGGTGCCAAGGACTTGGGGACCTGGAGGTGGTTCCCTGTGAGGCAGCACGTGCCTGCCGCCTGCTAGAACACAGACTGTGCAGACGTGCTGCCATCGAGGCCGCTCCCAACGTGAGCAGCACTTGGCACCGCGCGGCCCTGCAGACAGGTGCAGATTTTAGATAGATCCTACATGACGTAATCTTCACACAACCTGGAGAGGACGTCACAAGAGCTGGCTTCCCTATGAGGTCCACACCGTGGCTGATGCACAGAACAGCGTGGCCCGAGGCCCAGGTGGTTGGTCAGGCCCAGTTGGAGGGACGGTGAGGCAGGCTTTGCCCCTGTCCTGACCAAGAGCTCTTAGGAAATCAGAAGAGCACTGGTTTATTACAGAAGCAAGTGTGTGTGATCTCAGGTGCAGCTTAGGCACAATGGCTACTGGATTTAATTGGCCAAATGGCTAATGGACCCCAGGGAAGACAAAGAAAGCAACAATCAGAGGTTAGAAAACCCGGAAATTACAAAAAATGGAAGAAAACAGGGATGAACTGAAGCCACTGCCAATCGCAAAACACAGAAAGCAAAGTCCATTTCCACAGCAGAAGCAAAACCCGGTGCCCAGGCTAGGACACGGGGTGTTGGGTGCGCAACCGCAGCTGCAGACACTGCAGCACGCATTCCCGCCTGTGGCCGGCGGGTGCTCAGGGGCTGTTTGTTCATGCTGTGGGTGGTCAATGCCACCCTCCCCTCCCCAGTGAAGGGACTGCCTGTGCAGGCCCTTGCTCTTTGGGTCGCAATGTGAAGTCTGCCCACAAACTGTGATGCTCTCCTTGCTTGAGGCAGACAGTGGTTTCTCACAGGCACAACCGCTGTGATGTCTCACCTAAGCCACCCACCACGCAGACCAGGGCACAGGAAACTCATCCGACATTCCCCCAGGGGAGGAGGCCACTCCTTGTCCCTTGTGCCCCAAGGGCAGCCACCCTCCTCAGAGGAACCCCTGTATAGCCATCCTGAGCAGGAGCCACAGCAGTGACATCAAGCCTGGCCACATGTGCCCTCAACTGGCTGAGGACGGGTCAGTGCTTAAGGAACCTGGACCCAGCTGTGGGATCACAGCCAAGTCAGCAGGAGCTGGCCTTCGCGTGTTTTCAAGGTCTTTTCTGGGGGTAGAGCCCATGGCTCCTTCTGGAACAGCCTCGCAATATACACCCCTGTACCTGGGCTCTTTCATGGTCTGAGCGTTGGAGCAGCCCAGTCAGGGCTCCCAGCACACAGCTGCAGGGCAGTGCTACTCAGGTCGCCACTGGTGGGGGCCTGACCTCTGGTCTGGTGCATGTCCTGAGGGTGCTGAGCCTGGTCTCTTGCCACCTGTGCTAGTGCCTTACCCCTCCTGGTCTGTTTCTTGTGCTGATGGATGACAGGCACTTTCTGCTGCCTGGACAGTGGGGCTGGGGGGCAGTGCTCCAGGAGGGGCAGGAAGACGGGAAGCAGGAGGAGGCCCCACAGAGTTGAAGGAGTAAGGCTCAGGGACATTCTGGGGCCCGGGAGGTGCCAGGCACCTTGGTCCTGTTCAGGGCTGAGCCTCGTGACGCTGAGTCCCTGGTATGAGAGGTGAGGGGTGCTATGGGCTCCCCTGCAAGGCCCGGTATCTGGGCCCTGCTAGTCCGTGGATGTCTGTGCAGAGCGCCCCTGCTGTGGGGTCCCAAGGCACACGTGCAGGGCTGAGAGATACTGCTCTGTGCCATGGGCTGGGCCAGAGGTGTGAACGAAGTGGGCAGGGGGTGCCAGGAGCCCATCTGCTGAGGGGTTTCCTCTTGTCAGACCCCATGGGCCTGGACCTGTGCGGCTGTGGCCCTGCAGGGGGCTCCTGGTCACTGTTGGGCCCCAAGAGCAGGGACAGCAGCCCCCCATCCAGAGCTCTCCTGAACATGGTGCTGGCCAGGCCCAGCTGCTCAAGCCACAGCCTGCTTGTGCCCTGTGACCCGGAACAAAGAGCCTGGGGTGCCCCTGACCTGGATGGTGCTGCCCACAGATAAGCCCATGCCAGACCACACTGACCCCGGGTCCAGCCAGGACTTGCTGCGGACAAGACGCTCTGGTGCTTGCTGTCATCTCCGAATGGTGCTGCTCAAGGCAAGGGACCAGATAAGGAGGAAGAGGCTGCACCGCCCACCCAGTGGGAGGTGACCCAAGCCTTACCCTGGTGGCCAGGATGGGTGAACCAGTTCCACACGCTCCGTAACAGGAGAGGAAAGCTATTGCCTGCCTCCAGAATGTGCACAGCGTGTGCCAACGAGCAGAGCACCGTCCCCACAGGACCCCGGGGTACAGGATGTATGTCATCATCAACCCTCAGGGTGACCTAAAGCTCTGCCTGAGCAAGGCCCTCTGCCTACAGTGATCCCACCCCCCAGTGGGCAGATGCCCTGGACTCACAGGGCTCTCGGCTTCAGGCTCTGGGTGCCCGCTGGCCTTCCGCATGCCCAGACCCTTCACGTAGTTGTGGACATCGGCCCCGAAGCAGTCGGCCTCGTAGAAGGCGCTGGACCAGCCAGGGCTGCAGCTACGGAACTCTGCTGGGCCCAGAGACCCAGCAGGGCCACGCTCCTTGGGCCTGGCCAGCCGGGCCACCGTGTCCATGTCTGAGGCCCTGCTGGCAGGCTCCGGGCCAGGGACTTGCTGCCCGTTCACCTCAGGCTGCCCTTCTCGAGCAGCTTTTATCGACTTCTGAGGCCGGAATCCCACCTCAAAGTTTCCTTGTGAGAGTATGTCCGAGTCTCTGTCCGATTGCGTGGTGGGCGAGCAGGGGCCCCCGCTGCCCCGGGCTGCCACCACCTTCTCTTTGCCTTGAGAGAAAGAGATGAGGGTCAGGAAGGAGGTTCAGGTCATGTGTCCCAATGAAAGGGGACTTGCCACCCAGGGAGTGTGGGGAACATTGCTCATGCCGTGTGGGGGCGGCTGGATGCCCTTGGGGGAGGTCCCAGCCATGCAATCCTGGGACAGGGCTGGAGGCTGAGGAAGCCAGACTTCCGGTGAAGTTCCAGGTGAGGGGCCCTCCCACAGGCCTCCTGTAGGCATCTGCATTGTTTCCAGACTTCTTGTGGGACCAGGCCCCTCTGTCCCTGCAGCCCATCCTCTCTGGAACATTCAGACTCAAACCCCACTCTGTCCCTTCCCTACAACCCTCAGGCCCTTGGTTCTGTCGACTCTAAAGCTTCTGTCTGTGCTGGTGGCTTCCTGGGACCCTGGCCATCAAGAGCAGGTGGACCTCATGCCTGGCCTGTCATCTGCTCCCTGGTTTGCTTAAATAGGGATGAGGCCACCACGGAGGCCCTATTGCAGCCAGGTGTGGTCAGCACGCCCCCCCCCCCCCCCCCCCCCCGCCGCCCCGTCTGCTCCCTCAGTAGGTTAGGAACGTTAGGTTTCAGCTGACCTGGAGCCTGGGCTGATGATCTGGGAAACCAGCTCAGAGTGTTTAAATGGCTAGTGTTTCTAGGGGGATGCAAAGGCCCCAGTGGGTGCTGGTGGCTGGCAAAGGGAGGAGGAAGGCCCCTAACTGACAGCCCTCAGCCCCAGGATCCTGGGTGTCCTGGGCACCCAAAGCCCTTCCTGCTCCCGAAGGGCCAGGACTGGCTGGCAGAGTGCGCACCTGTTCCCCACGCTGCAGGGGTATCTCTTACCCAGTCCGTGGAGCGAGGGCCTTTTGCCGAAGGTTGAACAGCTGCCTGACGAGCCCTCAGGCTGAGACCCCGGTTCCTGGGAAGTGCTGATAATCAGAACAACTGGTCAAGACCCCTGCCCTCTGGGATGGTCTTGGGCCGATGCAGCTGGCCCCCAGCGGGGAGCCTCACCTGCACACACTGGGGGAGGGTGGGACCTCTCACCTCTAGCCTGCACCTCCTGGGGCGTTGGCCCCACAAAGCTTGCTGGACAGGACTCAGGGACAGGTCAGAACACCTTCTAGAACCACGAGCTAGGGTGGGCCTGCCCCCCAGGTAGCAGAGTTCCCAGGCAAGCACCCCGTGGCCAGTGGCCATGTGTGCAGTCACCCTGGGGGGCGGGGCCTGGAAGGTGGTCTTGGCCTGCACACCCACCTTTCGGAGGGTGAGGCTGGCTGGTTGACCACCTTGAAGAGATTCTTCAGCAGCCGCTCATCCCAGTAGAGGTCACAGAACTTCTCAGATATGGCTCCACAGAAGGTGGCGAAGGTGAGGTCTTTCAAGGCGTGAATATATTCCCCTGGTTGTGTGGACAACAGGGTACCTTGGGCATTTCTTGTTCTCTTGCTCCAGTCACCTGGAGGAGGTGGTCTCGAGGTGCAGAGGGCTGGGTGTAGGTGGGCAGACACAGGGTGGGCTCCCCAGACCTGCCTCCCACCCGAGGCTGCCAGGTGCTGTCCCTGGCCCCTGGTGGCCCTTGGTAGGGCTGATGAGTGGGGCTCCAGACTGCCCTTCAAGCCTCCCCCTGGGGCAGTGTCTGCCTCCTCTGGCTGCTCTTGGCCTGTGGCCCCTACCCATGATCAGAGCCTCCAGCCCGTTGTCCAGGTAGCCATCAAAGGCAAACTCCTCGCGGATAAGACGCATAGCTTCCTGCAGTGAGGGGCAGGCCGTCCTCTTGGAGGGGGATGACGCATCCACACTGGACGGAGAGATCTTGCGGTCTGCTGTCCGGGGCCTCTCGGGGTGTCTGTCTGGGCCCCTGGGGCTGTCTGGACTCAGTGCAGCCAGGGCGGGGCTCTGAGTCGACGGCTGGGGACCCTCTGGCTCTGTGGCCTTGCTCCTGGGTGGCTTGCATGGATGACATGGGCTGTGGTTGGCTGAGGAGGGCCCTGGGGGCCAAATGACTCCAGCCAGGGCCTGCCCATCAGGCCCTTGGTTGGGGGGCAGTGCCAGCGCCTTCTGGGGCAGGGCAGGGCCCGGAGACCCAGGCACTGCTGATGGGGCCTCCTCTGGCTGGTTGGTTGGGTCAGGGCCTGACTGGCAGGAGCTCTCCTGGTCCCCAACAGGCTCTGGGGCTGCTCCCTGTGGCCCTGGACCACACTCTGAGTGGCAAGGTGTTTCCAGGCTGGTGGCCCCCGAGAAATTCTGGGCTACCTGCTTCCCCTTGCCCTCTGTGTCCAGCTGGATGCTCCTCTCCTCAGCCTGGTTGGCTGGCCCTGAGGACACAGCAAGCTGGTCCCTGTGGGGAGAGGAAGAGTGCTCAGGAGGGCCACCCACGTGCTGTGTACCACCAGCCAGGGTGGGCATGCTCACCTGGCCACACCTGAGTCTTGCATGAGGACGATGGGTTTAAAGTGTGTGGCTTCAGAGCTGAAGGCCTCAGGCAGCTCTCTGGCTCCTTCGCTGGAGGGCGGGTGAGGCACAGGCCCTGGCACAGCCACCAGCCTGGTGTCGCTGCTGATTGGCAGAAAGCCTGGGGCCATGGGTGGTTGAGGTAGCCGGTGGGGAGAAGGGTGGTTAGGGGGCTGGCAGATGCTCTAGAGTGACTCTGCACCTAGGGGCCCCCAGCTCACTGTGCCCCAAGACTGGGTACTGTGCCCTTTGTATGCCTCCCCAGAGCCACCTCTGTCAGGCTTGGCCAGAGGGCCTGGAAGGTGGAGTGTCCATGCCTGGGGAGGACTGAGGCCAGGCGACAGACTGGAGGGCTGGCCGCAGCCAGGGGTGGAGGAGCTGCTGGGAGGGAGCCGGCAGCACCGAGCTGGGCCGGGTGAGGACTGGGCTGGGAGCGTGCATGGGAGGGGTGGGCTGCCCAGTTCTGGGCAGCAGAGGGAGTCTGGAGTGGAGAGTGGGCAGGAAGGCCTGGTAGGCTGCCCTCTGTGCTCGCCGTCCCGGTCTGGGAGCCAGGTACCCCCCGGGGCTGGACTTCCAGGGGGCTGGCAGACCCACCTGGGCTGGGCTGAGGAGCAGGTGCTGCTCGGGGCTGAGGAGCAGGTGCTGCTCGGGGCTTCAGTTCAACCACAGAGAAGGCGTCTTGGAGGCTGATGGTCTCTTCCTCCTGGTGGACCTGCGCAGGGGGCCGTAGAAAACTCATCAGGGATCACTGGGGGTGCAGTGTGGACACTTGCCCATGCTTCCAGTTCGAGGAACTTTCTGAGGGATGGAGAAGCCCAGCACGGAGGGCCTCTGCTCCTGAGACTCAGAGCAGGGGCCCGCACGGAGGCCTCCCTTGTGCTCCCATCAGTGAGACTGGAAGCATTATGGGATGGGAGACACTGGCCAAGCCAAACTCGCTGCCTACTGGGGAGTCCAGTGCCCCTGGGGTGCCCGCTGTGAGGTCACCTGAGCATGGAGTGCTGTCTCACCTTGCAGGTGGACACCCGCAGGTGGGCGAGGATCTTGCTGCTGTCCATGCCTCGCTGGAGGAGGTAGCTGCCACACACCTGAGGGCAGGGAGAAGGTTGGGCAGGCCAGTGGGTGGCTCGGGCCTCAGCCCTACCACACCAGCCGTGTGCCCTGATGCTGCAGGGGGGTGGGCGAGAGCCAGGAAGACCTCAGTGAGACTCCACCTCTGGGGTCTGCCCTCCCCGTGTGCAGCTGTGAATAGAAACCGAACAGGAGCTCCATGTCTCCCTGCTGACACTCGGGGCAGGTGCCAGGGGCTGCCCTGGCTCTGCTACCTCTGTGGGCCGGAGACGAGAGGCACCAGACTAGGAGAGGGTCTCACTACAGAGCCTTGTGGGTCTGGCCAGGACCAGTCCCTGCACATACAGGACAACCGCAGCTGGTAGCCTGCATAGCAGGAGGGACAGTAGGTAGAGGTCCAGGGCTGTGGGGCAGCCCCACTCTGACTGCCCACATGGATTTGGCCAAGGAATGAGACTCACTCCCTTCCCTGCCCAGTGGCCTGAAGGCCCTGGGACTGTGAGCAGGGCATGACCCCTGTGGTTACCTTAATGGCCTCAGCCACAGATGGCCGCTCAGGGGCGTGGCGCCTTGCCATGTCCAGTAGGAGGGTCTTGAGTCTGCGTGGCAAGGCCAGCTTCTGCTCACGGGGCATGCTGAACTTGGCTGCGGTCCATAGAACGGCGGCCACGCAGTACACAGAAGCCTGCAGGGCGGAAAGAAGAGGATGGTGGCAGCTGGGCCATTGGGCCCCGCCAGGCCTGGCAGACCTGGTGTCCTAAGGGGCACTAAGGCATAGTCCTTTGGAGCCAGGACCAGCCTGGAGCCTGGGGGTCCACCCTAGCCAGCCCCCAGGGGAGCCCCGGGGCATGGCCTGGGGGCTGCATGGCTAACACCCCCTTTCGGGTCTGGGCTTTGAACATGGGAATGTGAAGAGCTCCACTGGGACGCCCCCTCTGTCTTCACAGGTAGCTGGTGGGCAGTGCGAGGAGGCAGCTGCCCACATGGTACTCTGGACACCTGCCCAGCTGTGCAGGCCTGCAGTTAGCAGCAGGCCCTTCGACAGGTGCCTGCTCCCTGTGCACAGGAGCCGCTTGGTCTGATGAGGAGCCCGCAGCCCACATCTGAGATGCTTTCCCGAGAGCTCAGGGTGGTGCCTTGTTCTCATCTAGGGGAAAACGTCCAGTCTTTGGCTACCGAGTACTATGACACTAGCTGCGGATTGCTTATTGCATTTATTTATTTATTTTCTTGGTAGATGCTTTTTATCAAGTTGAAGATGTTTCTTCCATTTCTATGTTTTCTAGAGTTTTTTCTTCTTTTTTGTAAGCTTATGAATGGGCGTTAGACCCTGTCTGATGCTTTTTCTGCATCAATCATCACGATTGTGGGTTTTTGTTCTGTAGTGTTAATAAGCTTGTCTGCACTGATTTTCAAGTATTGAAGCAGTCTTGGATCCTTGGAATAGAACCCCTCTGCCGAGGCGTATGACTGCTGTTTATATTGCTGCATTACATTTGCATGTGCCTTCATTCTCGTGAGAGATACTGATTTTTTTTGGGGGGGTACTCTTGTCTAATTTGGGATCGGGGTGATACTAACTCCATAAAATGAATTGGGAAACATTTTTCTCTTCTGCTTTCTTGAAAAAAATTGTGTAGAACTGGTGTTAATTATTCTTTAAACACTTGGCATCATTTTCTAGTGAAACCATCTGGCCTAGAGATATGTTCTGGTGAATTTTAAAATTATAAACTCGATGTCCTCGATACTTAATGGGCTGTTCGGGTGACCTGCTTCATCCTGGGTGGTGGCGGTTTGCTGTTGCAGAACTGGGCATTTTATCTGCGCCTCCGGAGTGGGTGAGGGCTGTGGGTAGCCCTCCCAGGCTGTGCTTTCCACGTCTGCAGGCCTTCGAGATGCCCCTCTGTTCTCTCTGGTGCTGGTAACTCCTGTCTTCTCTCTTCTCTTCCATCAAATTCCATTTTATCTATGGTATTTCTTGTCTTTTTGAGTTACTGGAGATTGAATCCAGGCTGCTTTACCATGAGCCACATTCCCCAACCTTTTTTTAAAAAGTTGCCAGGCTGCCCTTGAACTGGCAACGCTGCTGCCTCAGTCCCCTGCTGGCTGGGGTGACTGGGGTGGCCACATGTGTTCTTCTTAGCATCTCCTGCCTTCCTCCTCCTCCTTCCATTTTCCTCTCTGCTTAAAGATTTCCATTAGCCATTCTTGCAGAGTGGATCTGCTGGCCACGAGTCCTCAGCTGCCGTTCACCGGAGGCTGTCTTGCCCTGTCCTCCATTTCTGAAGAGCCTGTGCTGGCCACGGGGCCCCCTGCACTCAGGCCTGGAGCCTGTGGGCATGTGGCAGGTGCCCTCGAGTTGGCTGCCCTGCACGGCAGTTGTGGTTCCCTCTCTTTTCTCTTTTGGTCTGCAGCATGCAGGGGTCGACTGTGCTGTTGTGCTGTGGATGCCTTGGAATCTATTCTGTTTGGGTCTCATTAGCTTCTTGAATCTGTAGGTCTATGCATTCCGCCATAGCTGGCAAGTTTCCATCCATGATTTCTTTGAGTACCTTTTCTGCCCCACCTGCTATTCTCCTCCAGGATTTTGATGACATGGTGCTACGTCTTTTGTCGTGTTCCCACAAAATCCTCAGGCTCTGTGCAGCTCTCAGTCTCTCTCCTCTTTCTTATTCACACCGTGTCACGTCTGTGGTCCTGTCTTTGGTTGCACCAGTCCTTTCCCGTGTCCTTTCCGTCCCAAGCCCATCTGCTGATCCATCTCGAGTGCGCGTGCTGCTGGGACCAAGTGCAGGCCTCAAGCATGCTGGCAGGTGCTCTACCACTGAGCCAGCCCGCCAGCCCACGCAGTCGGTTTTTTTTTTTTTTTTTTACTTAGTTCTAAAAACGTGCACTTTGTTTTCTCTTTCTTTGTGGTCACTTCCTGTTTCCGTTTTGTCCTTTTTTCCAGCCTGTTGGTAACTGCTCACTGAAGCCCTGTTAGGATGGCTGCTCCCACGTCCCTTAGTTACCCCTGGCGTCTGTCACCCAGCCCACACCATCTCATTCCAGTGGGGACCTCCGGCGCTTTCTTTGGGGGGATCTCCACTGGAAACCTGTGTTCCTGTTGGGACCCCGATCTTGTTGGAGCCTGACCTCTGGCCTTGCCTGGCTGTGGTCCCCACTGACTGTGAGGGTGACGGCCTGCTCCTGTCTCTGCTGGCCAGTGTGGTGGCACGCGCTCTGTGGTGTGGGCTGCAGAGGGGGCTCACGTCTAGACCGCCCGCTGCTGCCTCTGGCGGGGGACCAGCTCCGTCTGCCCACTGGGCTTGCCCAGCTCGGCCTCTTTGGCTCCAAGTCTCCACATGAGGCCCTGCCTTGCCCCTTAGGGAGCTCCTCAGGGGAGCCCTCCAGCTGCCTGTCCTCTCCCTGCAGACTCGGGTGTGAGGAGTGTCCAGCTCCGGGAGCCTCTGGAGCGCCCTCCACCTCCCCGAGTGGAGGACCCGGTACTGAATGCTGTACTTACTGTACTTCAAGTGTTAAGTACTCCTGACGTTGCCCTCGGCCCTCCAGAGCCAGGGGCAGCCCGGCACACACACTCGCCTCGCCCAGGACCCCACCCTGGCTCTGCCTGTGCCCTGGAGGAGGCCTGTGCTGGGCACTGCCCAGCTGCCTGCCAGGCAAGCCAAGGCACCGAAGGGGGCACCGCACAGGAGAGGGGTGTGGGCTCTGTCGAGGTGCGGAAGGTGGCCTGAGGAGCTGGGCATTACCTTCTCTGTCACCAGCCTTTCCTCTGCCACCTCGGGAGCCAGGAAGAGCGAGTTGTAAGAGCCTAGGAGAGAACACAGCTTAGGGTGTGCCCACGGGGGCTCGGCCCCAGGGGCCCCCGGCCCGTGTGCCTACCATTGTCAGGGGGTGGCCCAAAGAGCACAGCCCCGTCCTCGGCCACCAACACGTTGTCCAGGCACAGGCAGGCTGCAACAGAATGCGGGTCAGGAGAGGCCTCCTGTGGGCCTGGTCACCCAGGGCACGCCAGGAGTCTACCTGAGCCTCTTCCTGCCACAGAGGTCCTGGGCCACCTCTTCCACCCCCAGGCAGAAGGGCCTCAGGCAGACACTGCTGTAGTGCCCTCATCAAGCTGGGGATGAAAAGGGCAGGACCAAGAGGACTGGGCTGTGGTCCACGCTGTGCACTGACCGGGGAGGCTGACCTGGGAGGCTGGATCTCAAGGCCCCAGACACACCGAGCAAGTGGTCTGCCCCAGGGCTGCACCCAGCCCTTCTCTTCTTACTCTACACCGACAGGGTCTGGCTAAGCTGCCCAGGCTGGCCTGGAACTTGGGGTCCTCCTGCCTCTGCCTCCCGAGTCACTGGGATGACAAGAGAGGCCACCGTGCCCAACCCTCCATCTCTTCTAGACACCCTTCTTGTCACGGCCTCAAGAGCTTTGAGAACACAGATGACCACCCATCTGTCCTATGGTCCAACAGGGTCCAGCTTGGGAGGCCACACGCAGTGCAAAACACTGCCCCACCCTAGCTCACCTGTGGACAGTGCCCCCTTCCCTAGCTCACAGCATGGACACTGCTCCCAGTCCTGGTCACAGCATGGACACTGTCCTCTGTCCTTGCTAACAGTATGGATACTGCTGCCCCCAGCTCACAGAGTGGACACTTCTACTGCCCCGTTCTGGTCACTGTTTGGACACTATTCCCCCAGCTCAGAGTGTGGACACTGCTCCGCATCCTGGTCACAGTGTGGACACTCCCGCCCCAGCCTTTCTTCAGCTGCCCCGGGCCCCAGGTCACCTGGGTGCTGGCTGTGGCTCTGCAGGGCTCGGAGGCAGGCGAGGCACAGGGCCCAAAGCTCATACTCCCGGAAGGGCCGGCCCAGCTGGCACAGGAGGTCTTGCAGGGACAGGCTCTGTGGGGGGCAGAGTTGTCCTGTGAGGCCGCCTTGGGGAAGCACTTCCACGAGACGACAGGTGAGAGCCACCTCCACTCCACGCACAGCGCCCGCGAGAGAGCCAGAGTGGCGAGGGCACGGCCGGGCGATCCCGATGCTGCTTCTGGGCACACCTGGACACTGGGTGGGGCAGGGTGCAGTGTGCACGTCCATGTGACAGTCCCTGCACTGTCCATGGGCGGGGGTGAGGACGTGGCTCTCTGGGGGCAAGAAGACACGGTGACATGTGGACCTGGAGGATGGACCCCATGCCTCCTGCACAGACACTGGCTGGGGCCCTTCTCAGAGCCCAGATGGACTGGCGGGCAGGTGGCTGGTGGGGGGTGATGAGGGGTGGGGGCCGGGCGCGGGGCGGGTGGCAGGTGGCTGTGCAGTGGTCTGGGCTGTTGGCTGGCCCAGGCAGGTCTTAAGGTCTGTGTGTTTCACACAGAAACTCCTGGATTCCGGTGCTTCCTCCACGTATGAGCTGGGGCCAGCACTGCCAGCCTGGGTGTCGGAAGTTTGGGGACCCTGTGTGCAGCCCCTGGTACCCCTGAAGGCTGAGCCACATGTGGCCTCAGTGCCTCAGCTCCTCCTTGCTCATGGCCGTGTGGGCCTCTCTTGACCCGTGGCCTGCCTGCTGGGGCTGGAACTGGGGTGGGCGTGACTGACAGGCCGCCCCCCACACCGGGGGCCAGGGGGCCTGACCCCAGCTCTGTCTGATGGCTCAGCAGGAGCAGCACTCGCTGGTCAGTGCTACCCTGTGCCCGGCCGGAGACCTTGGCCCAGCCACTCCGCATGCTGCCCTCTGACGGGCCACTCTGCCACCGGCCGTGACGCGCAGTCTGGAAGGTGGGCATGACGAGGCCCTGTATGTAGGGTGTCCCACCCCGGGAGGTGCTGGGGCCACGTGTGCCGCGGTGGGAGCTGGCTGAGCATGGGTTGCGCCAGGCCCAAGCAGGCAGGCTCGGTGCCATGGCTGCGTGCTTCCCTGGGGTGTCCTTCCCCGCCGTGGGAACAGGAAGGACAATGTGACCAGTTGCCCACCCCTTCTCCCTTGGGCCACAGAGCCTGGTGGAAAGGGGCTGTTGCTGTCACCTTGTCCTCCAGCCTGGGTGCTGCCCAGTGGACAGGCCTGTTTGTGCCACTGGCTCAGTGTCCTTGCCCTGAGGGGCACCAGGCCTGGGGACATGGACCTCAGGAGGCTGAGCAGCCAGCGGGAGCTCTGTGCTGTGCTGTGGGTCTGAGGCCCCACAGCGGCAGGCATTTTGTCCCCACTGCCAGGTGTGAGAGGATGGGATGGAGTCCGGCCCTGTGTTTGGCAGAGGGCTGGGGAGGTGCAGAGTCACTGTCATGGGGGGAGCCCACAAACCCTGTGGCTTCAGAGGGGAAGAGAGACCGGAGACACACACTCCCTGCCTCTCCACATGATGCCCCGTGAGCAAGAAGCCTCCATCAGATGCGGCCCTCAACCTGAGCCTCCAGAGCAGTGAGCTAAATAAGCCCCTTTTCTTCTTCTTCTTCCTTTTTTGTACTGGGGATTGAATACAGGGCCCCCAGCATGCTAGGCAGGCTTTGGGCTACATCCCCAGTGCCCCTCCCTCATCCCTGCTTTATTTCAATCTTATTTTGAGACAGGGTCTTTCTTAGTTTCTCAGGTCAGCCTTGAATTTGTGATCCTCCTGTTTCAGCCTCCTGAGTTGCTGGAATTACAGGTGTATGCCAAGTTAAACCTTTTTTTTTAAAAATCAAGTGGCCTGTTTCAGGTATTTTGTTATAGTAACAAGAAACTGACAAATATGAAAAATTAATGATATACTTGCTAGTTCCAACTAGCTCAGGTGTCCCTGACTGAATAGAAGGGCTAAAAACGTAAGCTATTCTGATGGTCTATGGCAATGCTGAAAACTACACAAATCTCCCAAATGGTTGGTTCCAAGCAGAACCCTCTGTCCCTCACAAGGAGGGTTCCATGCCAGGGGACCTGTCTTGTCTGAGGACCCTGTCCTGCTTGGGGGAACCCCTCTGGCTGGGGTACACTGTCCTGTCTGAAGCCCCAGCCTTGCAGGCCCCATCTTGGTGTGATGCAGAATCCTGGAATTGACCAGAATGCTGATCAGGCTCAGCTACTGCCAGCACCTTCCGGCGCCAGGATGGACAGTGAGCTGTCTCAGCCCAGTTGTGGTTTCTAACCTTTAAAGCAATCATAAGAGCAGGACAGGGAAGGCCCTGGGATGAGAACTGGGGAAACAGCCCCCAAGCCCCAGCTGCCAGCCTCAGTCTGTTGCAAAAATCCAGCCCCAGGATGTGCTGATCGGTGGGTACATTGGTCTGGCAGGGCTGGAGGCTGCTTCCTGGCCACTCAGAGATGAACACCCACCTCCAAAGACCCTGGGGGGGGCTCTGGCTTGAGGCGGCACCTGGGGTGATAGTGCCCGCAGCCCCCACCCCAGCACATTCCAGCTTCCTTCAAAAACAGGCAGCTCCAGGCCCCAGCCTTCCCCACCCACCCCACCTCGCCCACCCACCTGCTCTGTGGCTGCCTTTTCCGGCTGCCTGGCTCCTCTGGGAATCCCCTCGACGTCCCCTGGAGTCTGGGCTTCACGGCCTGCATCTCCGGGTTCTGTGGGACAGGGTCGGGGGCTTTCCTCCGCAGGTTCCTGGCCAGGGAGTGGGGTCTCTTGTTGTCCTGAGGCCCTCAGCCCCCGGTCCGCTCTGAGGCCTGCACCCGGTGCGCCTTCCAGCTGGAGCCTGGGCTCCTGCTCTGACCACAGTCTGCTTTGGGGCTGTGCCTTGAAGCTAGGGAGGCCATTTTTCCCTTCCAGAAAGACCTTGGGGTCCGGGGGGAAGAGTTCAGAGACGCTCAGATGGTTCCTGGGGCTGCTCAGTGAGAAGCAGAGGGCACTGGCCTCGGGGCCCTTCGGCAGCAGCCTTGGGAATGTCTGCACTTTCCTCAGGCTCCGCCTGAGGAAATCTTTGTCCAGCTCGTGGAGGGGACATTTGCTGTCCAGGACGAGGCTGGCCAGTCCTTCCCGGCCAGGGTTCTCTCCATTTTTCATGGGGGCTGATAGCAGTGGCCTGGTGGGCGGGGGTCTGGGGCCCCGGATGGCCTCCTGCTCTGGGTCTTCATGTGTGGTGGGCTGGGGAAGGCTCTCCGGCGTGGGCAGGGCCTCTGGGCCAGTGCTGGAGTCCCCGGGAGGCCTCCTGGGGCCCGAGCTTCTCGAGGCAGGTCTTCCCTTCCAAGTGTTCTCCCCGACGTCTGGCAGGAGGTGGTTACCACTGAGCGGCTGTGACTGCTGGGTGGCCACCATGGCGACCGAGCCCCCAGCACAGGTCTCACAGGTGGGGGACTCCCGTCCTGTGCTCCAGACCCCACCCCTCCCTCAGGGCAGAGCCCAGAGACCTCCTGGGCTCACCCAAGGGCCTCCCTTGCCCTGCCAAGCAGAGCTTCCCTGGCTGGCCCGAGCCTGTCCAAGCCTCCCGTCCCCAGCTCCTCCTGGTTCCATGACGAGTGCACAGGTCACGCTGACCAGGACAGGACATAATCCCGGGGCAGTCCTCCATGCATCTGGCCCTATGGGACTCTGCGGCCTACTTCAGTAGCACCCCTCCCAGGGCGGTTCTGCACCTCAGAACCAACCCTCCCTGCTGTGGGAGCAATGCAGGTGGCCACTCTCAGCAGGGAGGACCCCCAGCCACCGGGCCCTGCACACCCCTTTCTCAAGTCCCTGAGGCTCCCCAGACTCTACCAGAGTCCCACACGTGCAAAGAAGCCCCAGACACAGCAGCAGGTGTCTGCAGACCCCTGTGGTGTGGGCGTGGGGCGTGTGGGACGCAGGGCTTTCCTTCTGCAGGGCAGTTTGGGGCAGGCAGAGGTTGACAGTACCAGCTTCGGTGGCTTCTGAGTGTGAGCCCAGTGCTCAGCTCTCCCTGCACGTCTTGCTCAGGTCACTGGATGAGTGTGCACATGCCAGTGTGGCATCCGTGGCACATGATGCAGACATGCAGATGCATTTGCACACTTGTGTAGAGTGTGAATAGACTTGTGGATCTGCACGCATGTGAGCGTAGCTGTGTTTGTGGGGTGCACACAGCTCTCCTTGAGCACACATGCATGTGACTATGTGATGTGGTGGGTGTTTGTAGGGGTGTTGGTATGAGCAAGTGTGAGTGTGCCTGCATCTTAATGTGTGTGCACATTCGATGCACATTGCGTGCCTACAAGTGCATGTGTGTGCATGTGTGCAGGCAGGTACGTGTGTGGATGCATGTGCTTACCCTGGAACGCTCCAAAGGACTCAATGGAGAGCACCCTCCTCCCGACAGCTGAGAGGCTCCGGCATAGGCGGCAGGAGGACCCGGGTTGCACCTTCTCCTCGCACAGTGCTATGATGCTCTGTGGACATGCGCATGCCGCTCAGTGAGGCTGGTCTCTCAGCAGAGAGGCTGCCCTCCTGAGACAAAGCTCCAAGGTGGCCCGTCCCCAGCTGCCCACTTGCCCACCACATGCACCTTTTGTGTAAAAAGGCAAGGTGTCCTGGGTGGCAGAGAACGGGATTCTGTTTTCCCACGCCAACTGTAAGGCAAACCCTTTACTGCAAACATGCACACTAAGAGTCGTGCCCTTCTGTTAGTACAATGCAGTGCCACCTAATTCTGGTTGAGGGACCCCGAAGAGGCTTCTGGGGTCTGTGTGTGTGTGTGTGTGAGTGTGTGCATGTGTGCCTGGGTGTGCAGCATTAGACGTGTGGCGGGCTGGGCAGGGATCAGCTGTGGGCATCGGCAGGCAGACACTGCGGACTTACCTCCAGGTCAGGCCGGTCCCTGGGGTCCTCTGCCTGCATCTGGCTCAGTAGCGCCTCCAGGTCTGGGCTCAGCTTGGGTTCCAGCTCGGACTCCGCCACGTACTCCAGGGCAGCCTTCAGTGTGGCCCCCAGAGAGTAGATGTGAGCCTGTGGCAGCAAGGAGCCATTATTTCGGGCTCTGCCCAAGGGCACCCTCTGCTGTGCTCAGGACCCAGGGCACCTGTCAGTCTGGCAGGGCACTGCCCACTGAGGCTACTGTTCCTGGAGGAAGCAGCAGCAGCCATGCCGCTCCAGGGTCCCAGAGGCCCCACCAGCACCCTCTGCACCCCTGTCCAGTCCAGCCACAGTGGCCCTGTGGTGCAGACTCAGGCCCCCGACGCTGCCCCACCTAGGCACTCTTCAACAACAGCAGGGAAAATGCGGGTTTGCTTTTTGTTTGAAAGTGGGGGCTTTCCGAGCGTACTACAGGGATACTGCCACATCGATGTTCATAGCAGCACAATTCACAATAGCTAGACTGTGGAACCAACCCAGATGCCCTTCAATAGATGAATGGATAAAAAAAATGTGGCATTTATACACAATGGAGTATTATGCAGCACTAAAAAAATGACAAAATCATGGAATTTGCAGGGAAATGGATGGTACTAGAGCAGATTATGCTAAGTGAAGCTAGCCAATCCCTAAAAAACAAATGCCAACTGTCTTCTTTGATATAATGAGAGCAACTAAGAACAGAGCAGGGAGGAAGAGCAGGAGGAAAAGATGAACATTAAACAGAGACATGAGGTGGGAGGGAAAGGTAGAGAAAAGGGAAATTGCATGGTAATGGAGGGAGACCCTCATTGTTATACAAAATTACATATAAGAGGTTGTGAGGGGAATGGGAAAATAAACAAGGAGAGAAATGAATTACAGTGGATGGGGTAGAGAGAGAAGATGGGAGGGGAGGGAGGGGGGATAGTAGAGGATAGGAAAGGCAGCAGAATACGACAGTCACTAATATGGCAATATGTAAAAATGTGGATGTGTAACCGACGTGATTCTGCAATCTGTCTACGGGGTAAAAACGGGAGTTCATAACCCACTTGAATCTAATGTATGAAATATGATATGTCCAGAGTTTTGTAATGTTTTGAACAACCAATAAAAAAAAAAGAAAAAAGAAAGTGGGGGCTTTCCTAACTGTGCGCCTGAGAGTGGGCCCTCCTTGTGGTCCACACCAGGACACCAACCATGCCGAAGGCCGGCCCCAGGTCCTGGTGGGGCCGACAGCGGCCTGCTGTCCCCTGTGCCACGCGATGCCATTGGACCTTGGGCACTTGAAGAACAAACCAGAATGGCTGGGATTGTGCTGTGACTGCAGTGGCTTCTTATATTAATTTGGGGGAGATCAATTTTTTTGCAGAATAATTTCTCTATTGCCGAGCCATGGCCTATCTTTTTTGTTAGTTTTCTCTTTAACCAACAGGTGACTGGACACTCCATTTTCCCACTGCTGGGAGGGACCCAGGGCCTCCACGTGATACTCCATGCCCGAGTGTGGGCTCTCTGCCTCTGGCTTGCTTTCTTGCATCATAGTCCTTCCTGCTTGTTGGCACCCTGGTTTCTGTGGGCTTTGTGGCTATTATTATGGGACATATAAGCTTCATTTCTAGCTGGTAATTGCCAAAGAGGGTGCCATTTGCTTGGGGACGTGTCTTGCTTCGGCTGGCCTCTGACATTCTCTGTTCTTCTGGGGTCTAGGTCCACAGACGTATTGACAGACAAGGTAATTCTGCCTCGTCCAAGATGCACCCTGCACAGGGTCCGTGTCACTGCAGCGTCCTGAGTCTGTCCTGTCTCCTCGTGCTCACACCAGGACCGTAAGCCACCCCACTCCTGGCAGAGGGATAATGGCCTGGTCTCTGCTCACATGCTGTGAGGCCTTGGCCAAACCACAGACCCTCTCTGAACCTCAGGGGATCCTGAGTGTCGTCCTTCACAAAGACAGGGGCAGTGGTGAGCACAGGGTCTGAGAATGGCTAGAGAGGACATAGGCAAGAGAGGGAGGCCATAGCCCTGCCCTCTACCACCTTCCACCTTGTCTGTCTCACAAGCCCCTAGGCCTCTGGCCAGTGTCCACTCAGATCCACACAGCTTCTCTGTGCCCCGCACTTGCTGAGCACAGGCCCTGGGTGGGTGACACACCAGCCACACAGCCCGTCTCCTGGCTGGACCCCTGGACCCACAGTGCTCAGGGTCATGGGCTGGAGGAGGCCCACAGGGCCAGCGCCCAGCAAGCTCAACTTGTGGGGTCTCCTGAGCAAGGACTAAGGTGTTCGGTGTGTCCGGGGATTCAAAGAGCCCAGGGGTCAGTCTCAGAGGTGGAGCGGAGATGGCCCCAGGAGGGGCAGCTGCATGGTGCCTGGAGTATAGGATGGGTTGGGGGAGGACGCCTGGGGGAGGTAAGGGTTGGGGGAGGTTGTTCTTGAGGCTGGAGCGACAGGGAGGCGTGCGTGTGTGTGTGTGTGTGTGTGTGTGTGTGTGTTGGGGGCAGGCCAGCAGGGAAGGAGCAGGGCCCAGCTGCATTGATCAGCACCATCACGCTATGACTGGACAATGGGGTCTGGGGTACCAGGAGGGGCACAGGTGAGGGATGGGGTGGCTCAGCCTGGGTGCAGCCAGCAGCCTCGGCCCAAAGGGCTAGTACCTCAGTCCAGAGACCCAGGAGGCCGGGCAGGGTGCCTCTCCGTGGTGTCCACCTGGCCTTGCCACACGCTCCTGAGAGCAGCATGGCACCTGGAGGGTGAGCTGGCCATGGGCACCTGCTTCTGGCTTGGTGTGCACCTGAACGGGGCGAGGGCTGTCCAGGTGGAGGTGCATCTGAGCCCTGCGCTCCTGAGGCCACGTGCAGCACTTAGGTCATACAGGGGTCCTGCAGCTCCTGGCTGAGGGCTCCAGAGCCAAGTTCATCTGGGACAGATCAGAGATCTCCGGGCACCTCAGGCTGGCTGGGATGATGGGCCCCCTGTCCACGTGGGAACAGGCCTTGGTGCACCTGAAGGGCCTTTCCACAGGGCAAGGTAGGAAGGACCCACCTGCTCTGGGGGTAGAAGAATGGAACCATGATTGTTATCTGGGAACTTAGAAGTTCCTTGTCATTCGACAATTCTGAGGTGAGGACCTGGGGCCCTTCCTCTGTTCCCCACCCACCAGCTCCCTGGGTGCTCCCTGGTTAAAAATACATTGAGCCCTGCTGCCCCCCACTGTCCTCCTGGAGAGCTTCCTGTGAGCTGGGTGGCTCTGGCCGGGGGGGCCTCAGTGCCTCTGCAGACACGGGAGCTCAGCACCCTTTATGGAGAGAGCCATGTCTGCCCGCCAGCAGAGCCTGGATCTCAATGCACTCACCTCGATAGCCAGTAGGGTGAGTGGGCAATAAGTTAAAACAGACCAGTGCGACAGAAGACCCAGACACAGCCAGACGCATGGGCTGGGGTCACATCACAGGAAGCTGCGTCCTGCCCAGGGAGCACGAACCTCTCAACAAAGAGAACCCCAGCAAACCACAGACAACTACAGCACACAGACAGCCCTCTGCAGCCACAGTGCGACCGAGTTAGGAGTTAGGAGTAGAAAGAAAGGCGTAGTGAGTTCAGGGGGAAGAGAGGGCTGCTGGGCCTGAATGCCCACCAGTGACCCCATGCTCATGACGGGAGTCACCTGGCCAGCCCTGCTGAGTCCACCCTGGGAAGCAGGACAGCACAGAGAAGCTGCTCTTAGCTCTGTGTGCCCTTGAGCCCCTGAGGGATGGTGGAAACACCCGCTCTGGCTGTGTGGATGCTGCTTACAGGGATATGCAGTTGAGAGAACCCATGGGGCTGTGTGCTCAGGTATCATTTTTCTGTATACATATCTCAATGAAAAGTAAGAAAAGCTCAACCCCTTCACAAGACTGACTGACTCATGGGCTAAAGAAGGAATCTTGGTGGAAATCAAGTTCTTAGAAGCAAACGCTATGTGGCAAAGCTCACAGGATGTGGCAAAACTCACTCGTTGAGGGAAATTCATAGCCTTGTGTTGTCAACACGGATGTTGGGGAGAGGAACTGAAAATGGGTGAGCAGGGTCCAACTCAGGTTAGAAAAGGAACAGACCCCAAACTCAAAACAAGTAAAGGGAGACAGAGTGATCAACATAAAAGAGTGTGCAGCCAAGAGAGAGCACAGACCCTGAACAGACCAGAAAGCAATGCTGTGCGGCCGATAGGAGGGGGAAGTGCAGGTGCAGACTGGCGTTCTGGGTGCAGGTGGCAGCCTGAGGACCCCTGGCTACAGGAGGGCATCACTTGCAGCCAACCCTTCTACCTGAGCCCACTGTCATCTGCTGAAATTGACCAGAAAGCCCACTCGGAAGAGCACAAACCAGGTTAGTCCTGTGACTATTAATAATCGGCTGTGACAATGAACGTTTCTGCCGGGAAACAGCGAGCTTTGCTGGACTGTCAAGGACAGATCATCCCCTTCTTAGACATGCAGGGAAAACAGGCTGTACAGACAGGCCTCGGACCACCCCGGTGCCCAGAGAGGGAAGACCACCAGCACCCACGGAGCGTGCAGGGGGTTCACAGAGCACACTCCTGAGTCCAGCTCCACTGCATGTAGGAGAGAGGACACCTGGCCAGTTTCCTCGGTGGGAAAGGGCAATTTAATACCAGGAAGTAAATAGGTAAAGTCATTCTTTTTTTTTTTTTTTTTTGTACTGAGGATTGAACTCAGGGGCACTCGACCACCGAGCCACATCCCCAGCCCTATTTTGTATTTTATTTAGAGACAGGGTCTCACTGAGTTGCTTAGGGCAATGCTGAATTAATTGCTGAGGTTGGCTTTGAACTTGCAATCCTCCTGCCTCAGCTGCCCGGGCTCTGGGATGACAGGAGTGCACCACGGCGCCTGGCTGGTAAAGTCAATCTGGATGACAGCAAAGGAACGCCTCACAGACGCGGGCAACGGCACTGGTGATCAACGTGATCAGTGCAGCAGGGCCAGTGTCTTGCGGGGAGGGTGGGGCGCACTGTTGGACGGGGCAATCCTTCCCCAGACAGGAGGAACCTGCACTGTGCCTCGACCCTGGCCCAGCACCGTTCCTCACAGCACAGAGTACCCAAGGAAGGCAGCCCCAGGGAGTAACCCTGCTGGTTAGGTTGGAGATGAAGAGCTGAGGGAATCTGTCCACTACTAGAAACAACACGGGAGTTTGCAGATGGGTGGGTTTAAAGTTAGGGTGGTAAAGCGACCTGTCCTTCTGTAGACTAGCAACAAGCAGGAGAAAGTGCTACTAAAACACAACGTCCATTTCAGAAGAGAAGCAGAATGTAACGAATTTCTGAGAATAAATGTAATAAAAATCTCACACCCATGACAGGTAAAAGCTTTAGCTGTTGCTAAGATGTTAAAAAGACCACAGCAGGTAAAAAGCTGTCAGATGCTCACAGAGGAGACCCGGAATCTAACTTAAAGCCACACGCCAGCAGAGCTTCCTGGGACTTGCAGAGCGGAGTCCAGAATCCACCTGGGATCAAGTGCCGGAGCAGCACCACTCTGCAGGCACAGCCCTCGTGGCACAGGGCTTGCTGAGCACTGGGGGATCTAGAGGCCAGTTCTAGTGCAGGGATGGACCTGGGGCGCCACAGGACAGAGTCTGCTCCCATGGCAGGGAGCCGGTCCACTAACTGCACTGGCAAGTTGCCTGGGATGCGGAAGGAGGAGAGGGGTCCCTGTGTCACACTGGGAAAGAGTGGACAGACTGCTTAGTCTGACTTAGTCACTCAGTGGTGTGCACTTTGGGCAGTGCGTGGCCTGGTACACCGTGAAATGCCCAGATTTTGTTTATTAATTGTAGTTGAATAAAAAACAACAGCAGCCTCAGTGTGAAGAGGGGCTGGGGTTGTGGCTCAGCGGTACAGTGCTTGCCTAGCATGTGGGAGGCACTGGGTTCGAGTCTCAGCACCATATATAAATAAATGAATAAAATAAAAGTCCATTGACATCTAAAAAATATTGAAAAAAAAGATTACGTGTGAAGAACAAAGCTCTGAAGCTCTTGGTGGGAAACATCAGCGAATACCTGCTGGGCCATGGGGTAGAAGCCCTCGGAGGACACACGCTGCAGCAGCGAGGGAGGACACTTTGCCTGCTGCCCACAGAAGGACCCAGGCACTCGGCCACTTCCCTGCCAGCCCCCCTCTCCCCTTCCCTATCTGCAGCCTGCAGGGACGTCCTCAGAGGCCACTTGATATGCTCTCAGCAGGAAAGGAAATCACAGTAAGGACAAATGGCCCAAGGCCACCCCTCCAAACACACACTGTCCTCAAGGTTGAAGATGGGGCCCAAAGGCAGCTCCCCTGGGGTCAGCAGGAGCACTCAGGGGCCAGTCTGGAGCCCGCCGTAGTGGCCAGGGTGGCCAGGTCACCCCCAAAGGTAGCAGGAGCTCGGGGCTCAGTGGCTTGCCCTCCTGAAGCGCGTACCTCAAAGGTGTTCCCAGTCAGGTCGAACTCTGGGGGGACAAAGGCACCCTCGGGGTCATCTGGAGAGGAAAAGAAAAGGCGTTGTTCTAATCACCTGTGAAGGAGCAGGCGGACAGACCCACTGACCAGACCCAGCCAGGAACCTCCGAGCAGTCAGGAAGGCCACTGGTGCCCGGGTCATGTCCACCTCTCCATCCCGCCCCACTGGAGGATGGTCCAGGCATTGGGAGAAGCAGTGGTTAAAAAGAGGACCCTTAACCATGCTACAGGGGAAGGGGACAAGGGTTCTGTCCCTCTTCCTGAAGGAGCACCTGGGAAGTGGCCCAGCAGCTCTGCTCTCCCTGGGAACAGTGCAGGGCGCCCGTCCACCTGAGACAGGTAGCCTCATGGTCAGGTCCCCTGTGTCCTGTGGCCACTCCCCACAGACCAGTAGGGAGAGGAGGCTCTGGGGTCTCCCATTGGAGCAGGGCCCCTTGGGGGCTATGGTGGGTGGCTCAGGCTGGCACAGCCCCTACTGGGCTCTCTGAGGGCATGTGTGACAGCCTGGGGCAGCGGGAGCCCGCCAGCCACCCAAGTCCAGTGGGCAACCGCCTTTCACCCTCTGTGGTACCTCGGGCCGAGGATCCCATCGGGCTGCAAAGGACCCTGGTCTCTGGGTCTGCGCTCCATCCACATGGCTGTTGGCTCACCCCAGGAGGGTGCCTCTGCCCCGCCGGGCCCACCCAGCAGCCTGCCCTTGGCCTCACCGCTGAGCTGCTCCATGAAGCACACGTTCCCACTGGTATTGAAGGCCAGCGTGTCGGGCGTGATGCACAGCGTCTGGAAGATGGCCGCGTGGGCGACGCTCCGCATGGACAGGCTGCACTCCAGGCACACAGCCCAGGCCTCCTGCTCGCTGAGGCCGCTGTCCCGCAGGGAGAGGATGTCAGCCAGAGACACGTTCTCCTGCCAAGACAGGCCTCCGTGAGCCCACAGAGGGGCTGCCCCAGGCAGGCCACACGCCCAACATGGAGCAGGGCTCTCAGGAAGCAGGTGGCTCGCAGCAGTCTTTCATGGGTCGGAAAGGAGTTTCAGGCAGGACTTTTCCATTTATGATCTTTACTTATGGGATGGAGTCTCAGGATTTCTCAGGCTGGTCTTGCGCTCCTGGGTGCAGCTGCTCCTGAGTGCTGAGCCTGTAGCAGGGCCCCCACATCCCACTCTAGCCTCTTTTTTTTTTAACCTTTATTTTATTTATGTATTTATATGTGGTGCTGAGAATTGAACCCAGTGCCTCACACGTGCCAGGTAAGTGCACTACCGCTGAGCCCCAGCCCCAGCCCCCAACCCCGCTCTAGCCTCTTAAAATTTACCTGTTTATTTGTGGGGCTGGAACCTAGGGGCTTGTGCTTCCTTGTCCCACCCAAGCCCTCACCACTGAACCACACTCCCCTCTTGGCCTGGTCTTTTTTTTTAAAAAGACTCATCCCACTGTTCTCTGGCAGTCGAAACTGTGATCATTTGGCGAACCCCAGCATGTGGCCTGAAGCAGGTGTCTGCTTATGCAGCGCTGGAACGAGGCTGTGCTCCCGGGAGGCTGGTTAGAGCCTGTGAGCTTGTGCCCAGCCGGCCACCTGCTCAGGGACAGCCTGGCTTGGCAGGCTCACAGCTTGGCCAGCACACCGAACTGTGCACAGGCTGAGCCACGGGACCGTGGAGGCATTGGATGCCTACAGGCCATGTTCCAGTGCCCAGGGAGCCGCCCAGTGGACGAGGTAGCCAGCCTGCGATATGGTCACGTGACATTCAGCCACACCTGCATGACGGGAACATGTGTCCAGACACTAGCTGTGGGCAGTTCACACAGAGGACGCAGCACAGAGGACCCTGCTCAGCCTCCCCACGCTGAGCCACTGCAGATCCTGCGTAGGCTCCCTGGGACACAATGGCCAGTACCAACACCACATTCACACAGGCACACAGCTGCCACACGCACTCTTGCACACATGAGCCCACATGTCCCCACCTACCACCTAGACACATGCATGCACACACATGCACAGAAACACACTCATCCACTCATGCAGTAATATATGCCCACATACGTCCACACACATCACACATGCTTACATATACACAGCTACACATACACGTCCCCACCCTCAGTCATACAGTCACACAATAAATACTATGCCAGCCACACCACACACACTGACTCACACCCACCCACCAGACACCTGGACTCCAAGGCTCTGTCCTGGTCAGTGCTCCTCACCGGCCACCCCCTGTGTTCGTGTTGGTGCACTGCCCCACCTACAGGAGGTGGTGGGAGGTTCTGAGGGAGCTGGGCTGCGGCGCTGGTCCAGCAAAGGTGTGGGCACTCTCGGAGAGACGCAGATGGGGGAGGAGGCAGAGCTTCAGCCTTGGCCGCAGCTCCACCAGGACATAGGCTGTTCTTCGATTGTGGCCAGGAGCTCAGGTCCTAAAAGGTGTGCCTGTGTCCAGGTGGCCGGCACAGGATCCCCATAACCAGGGGTGAGGGGACCAAGGGCTCCACAGTGGGGCCTGGGTCTGCCCTGCCGTGCGTCTCTGCATGTCTGCCCGTCCATTTCCCTCTGGAGTCCAGGGAGGGGCTTGTAGTGGCCCTTCCCCAGACCTTCCAACTCATTCTGTGTGGAGATGCTGACTGCTTGCTCCTGGCTGTTCTGGTTTGAATCTAGAATGTCCCCAAAGGCCCCTGTGTGGAAGGCTTAGTCCCCATGCCACAGAGTTCAGAGGTGGTGACCCTTGAAGGCCCTGACTTCATCAGTGGGTGAACCCCTTGGTGGATTCGTAATCTGAATGGACTATTGGGAGGTGCTGGAAACCTTAGCAGGCAGGGTTGGCTGGAGGAAGTGGGTCACTGGGGCATGGCCTTGGACGATGTCAGGTCCTTCCTGACTGCCATGAGCTGAGCAGCCTTCCTCCTCCATGCCCTTCCACCACGATGCTCTGCCTCACCTCAGGCCCAGAGGCATGGAGCCCGTCAGCCATGGGCTGAACCTCTGGACCCATGGATCCCAAAAGACCTTTCCTCCTCCGAGTTGTTTTTAGCAAGTGTTTCATCACAGTGACAGGAAGATGACCAACACACTGGCTGATCCAGGTCCGATGTGGGTCTCCCAGAGCCACCCAGGGCTCCTCAGGACCCAGCCCTGCCATGGGACCTACACCCACATACCTCACAGTGCGCCTCACACAAGTGCACAGTGCAGTGCACACACACAAGCACACATGTGCACACATGACACACACAAGCACAATGCACCTCACACAAGTATACAGTGCAGTGCACACACACAAGCACACACACAGCACACATGTACACACATATGCACACACACATCACAAACACAAGCACACAAATGCACAGGCACAAGCACACACGTGCACACAAGCACACACGTATACATACACACACAAGCACACACTAAGTGAGGCGCTGCCCATGCAGGCCCCGTGGTTCTGTGCCACTTTGAGGAACAAAGCCCGCCCACGACATGAGTCTGCGCCAGGCCCAGTCCCACGGCAAGGCTGCCGACACCCTGCTGCCTCCTGCTCACACTGGCCAGCAAGCCCGCCAGCTCACAGACTGTGCCGCCAAGAGAAGAGAGCCTCTTCAGGCAGGGCTGTCTTGTGGCCCGCAATACCACCTCCTTCTCAGGCCCCGGGGAAAGATGCTCCTGAGAGTCAGGAGCCTTGCCAGTGCTGGGTAGCTGCATCTCCCAGAACCTGTCCATGCTGCGAGGGTCCAAGTGTGGGAAAGCAGAAGCCCTGGGGGTTCTCTGCATGACTTCAGTGAATCCATGGGGTGCAGAGCCACTGCTTCCAGTGGGGCTCAGGCCTCTTCCAGGACAAGGTCATCTCCGCCCTGGAGCTCTCATGGTACCCCAGGCCCTGTGGGCTCCCCTTATCCTGCGCAGAGGGACCCCAGGCCTGGATGCTGGGCCCTGGAGCCACCCGCCCTCTGAGGCCTGCAGTGGCTGAACCAGGGGAGGATGTAGGAACTTAAGATGAGTCTTGGCTAAGGGGCCAGGGGACAGGATGAGAGACCGGGAGGGAGATGGGCAGCGCTCACTGCCACTCAGCCTTCATCCATAGCACCCCAGACTTCAGCAGAGGCCCACGGCCACTCATGAACAGAGCCAGCCACATGCCTGCACTCACCTCTAGAAGGGGCAGCTCTCAGCCTGGTTGCCAGGCAGGTCTAGGCTCCAAGTGAAATATGCTTAGCCCAGCTGCAGGGCCCTAGAGTGGGTTCCATGAGGCTCAGTGGGCCACAGTAGACACTTCCAAGGAGGGGGACATGCTCGGATGCGTCCAGTTGGCCTGGGCTCCTGAAGAGGTCACCTGTATAGACCCCCTGTCCAGCACACACACAAGGGTGCACACAGCTGGGGGCATCATGGTGCCTACTGCAGCCCCTCTGGCTCCTGCCATCTAACCTAGCACTTCATCTGCTGGGTGCAGGCCCAGCTCCTTGGGTGGTGAGAGGGTCCTGCTCACCCTTCCTCAATAAGGAGCTGCCCAGGGGGTTGTGGGTAGGTTGAGGGAGGTCACCCAGATTTTGTTCCCTGCTAGGCAGGAAAGAACAGTCATCATCCTGCAGTTTTGTGGGTCCAAACCCAACCTCCATGCCTGGGGGGAGGGTGACTGGAGGACAGCTGGATGGGACCTCCCACCCCCACCCCCAGGGGCTGTTCTCCAGGGCAGAGGTGGTACTTCAGCTCATCTCCAGTCCAGAGGGTGGGGCACTTCTCTGGTAGTGCAGAGGGTCCAGCTCAGGGCTTCTGCGCATAGAGGGGACCTCCCCCCACTGCTCAGACTTTGAGCCTGGATTGCAGGGGACCCAGAAGTCACTGTGCCTGTTTCAAATACACTTCTGATGACCAATTGACTTTTGAGGTGTGGTACGTTCCAGTGGGACTTCTAACTCCGAACCAAATTCACTGCTGAGAGCATGGGGCACGTGGCAGGCTCCTGGGCGGCCTGACCCCCACCGGATCCGCAGCCCTGGCCTGCCCTCCCAGGAGTCCTTCCTCCCCTGTCCAAGGCTGTCCCTCCAGGCAGCTCTCCCTGGGTCTCAGGCTGCCTCCTGCTCTGGGTCCATGGGTTTGGGTGCAGGTCATATGGAGTCCAGGAAGGCACACTGGGAGATGCTCCTGGCTGTGGCCCCAGCCACCTTGGGTCCTGAGCCTAGCCCCACCCCAGGAAGTTCTAGAAGATACTTTCTGGGTTTGACAAGGGTGAGACACTCTCTCCCGTCAGGGGAGGCATGGGATAGGAAACGCCCTGCCTGGCACCTAAAGGTGCCATCATCATCTCCTAGCCCGCCCTGGTCTGCACCCTGACCTGGGCCTAAGCCACCTGGCATGTGTCTGCTTGTCCTGCAGCCACAGTCCTGCCCAGATCTGATGCTGCTGTTGTGCCTCTGAGCCCACATCCCCTGTCCAGAGCAGCTGGAATCCATGGGTGTCCAGGAGGGATGGCTCCTCCCAGAGGCTGGCTTTGTGCAGTGCTTGGGCAGAAGGTCTGCGCTGTGGGTGGAAGGTCCTCTGCAGTATGCCTGCAGGTGTCCTGGGATCCAGGGTGGCAACAACTTCCAGAACCTAGCCAGGCCTGGCTGTCCACTCACTGAGCGCTGTGGGGTGCTGGTCTCGCTGTTTTCCAACAGGCTGCTCCTGCTCCCACATCAGTAAGGGGGCATAGCCAGCAAGTAGGTCCTGCCCACACACACCATTGTCCACCTTGGTCATCGCCATCTGGTGGCTATGGAAAAGTATTCAGGATGGGCACATTCTGCATCCCGCTGACTGTAATGAACTTTCTCTCGAGTTTGCCAGCCATTTGGACTTTCTCTGGGTCATGATGGGGAAGGGCCATCCTGGGCCTGCTGTCTATAAGGTTCACTTCTTGACCTCATTGGTCCCATGTGGTCTGTTGTGTCCTCATTGGCACTGCCCTGGGAGCTGTGCTCTTTGGAGGCTCCTGCAGCAATGCCCTCCAGGTGACATGGCAGCTGCCCTCTTCCTCACCCTGTAGGACAGGTGCAGAAGGCTGACAGGTGCAAAGCACATTTCTTCCACGTGAACCAAGCCAGGCAGTGCAGGAGGCATGACATCTGGACCCCATGCCTGCTCTCAGACACGGGACATCCGTCGATTCAAGACTGGGCCCTGGGCACCCCACTCCTACTAATAGGAGAGAAGGCAGCACCCTCCCCTGCTGAGAGACCCACCTGAACTTCCCACTGGACACCACTGAAATGGCAGTGTCACAGAGGAGACCCTCCCACGCACTGTGCACATGGAAGCTGATGCAGTCTAGGGGGTGCTGGTACACTCCTGTGACAGAAGGCAGCAGGACACAGTGGGAGGGGAGGGCAGACCACGCTTGAGGTGCAAGGCTTGAGTTCAGACCTGGCATTGCCCTGTTTGGTGCCTGCTGCTGCCTGGAGTGCCGGGCACAGAGCAGACCTCCAAGCTCAGCAGCTGGTGCACAAAGGTGCTGTGTGCAGAACCACATTCTCAGATCTGCTTCCAATGGCGACCAGAGGGCGAATCTTCTGAGGGGTACACTGAAGCGTGTCCTCTGGGGGAGTTTCTGAAGGCTGTGGCTGAGGACACCCTTTCTTTTCCATCAAAGACAGGGAGATATATAAAGGTTTATTTATTTCCTGGCTTCTCCTCTCTGCGGCCTTTAATTGCACCAAATCCAGGCCACATCGAGGGTGGGGGCAGTGCCAACCCCCTGCACTGTCCAAGTGGCCTCTGGGTGGCCAGGCAGCAGCAATGGATTCCTTCTTCCTCTGGAGCTCACTCCCTGGGGAAGTGTGGGGCTGGCAGAGGGGACAGGCTCTGGGGACTGCAGCCGTGGGGCCTCTGCTCCGGGAAGGTTCTGACCAAGTTCCACTCATCAGTGGGCCAGTTTGCCCACAAGGGCTGGAGCAGGTCTTCAGCATCTCACTGTCCCCAGTGGCTGCAGAATGCTGTATTCCTCAACACAGAGCCAGTAGTCCAGGTTGGAAGCTCTCCCAAAGACCCCATGTTCTGCAAGGAGAGGGCGTCCCCGGGGGGTGGCTGCACCCTCTGGGGGCTGCTTTCATACTTGTTCAAAACATGGAGTTTGTGCATGGGACTCCAACATAGCCTGTGGGGCCAGGTGGGCCCACCTCTCTGTCCCTTAGGGGTGGAGACCACAGGCAGAGTGCCCGGTGGGAGGGTGGGCCTGCCTCAGGTTCCCAAGTCCAGGGCAGGAAGCACAGCTCAGTCCTAGGCACGGACGCTCTCACCCTGCAATAACCCTCCACCACAGCTCGTGAAGCTGGCCGACTGCAAAGGTAAACAGTGCCCTATACTGACCGGTGCTGACGGTGCCCCACTGTCTACCCAACAGTTATAAGAAGCCCACCCCAAGCTGGGCACCAACTTCTGCAGTGACAGCTTCCACTGCTGTCCCATGAGGCATGCCAGCAGCGCTGGGAGATATGAGAACAGGGACTCCCAGCGGCCACCACCTGCCCCACGGGGTCTGCGGGGGCGGACGCCGCCCGGCCCTCCCCGTTCCTCCACTGACCTCTGCGCCAGGGCAGGTGGGGTCCCCCAGTGTCCAGGGCTCACCTCGTCCTCCGGCAGAGTGGGGAGCGGCTCAAAGTCGTAGAAGTCCAGGTCCTTGCCTTCCTCCTCATAGAAGCTCGCGGCGGGGTCCATGGCCTGCATCCTACGTGCTCGGCCCGGCCTGCGCGGCGGGCTGGTGCTTCGGCCACGTCGGCGCCCCTCGCTGGCCCTTGCGTCCCCGCGGGTCCCTGCCCCGCAGCTGGCTCCCCTGGGGTCCCCTCCCGGGAGGTCCCCTCTGAGGCTGGCCGCCGCCTCTGCGCCCGCTGGGCCGCGCTGGGCACCACCGGCTACGCGCGCCTGGCCGCCATGGCAACGCGCCCGCCGCCTGCCGCAGTGTCGCCCGGCGGCGGCGGCGCGGGGGACGCCTGGGGCGGGGCCGGGGCGGTGCCGAGGGCCGTGTCACTTCGCCGGCCCGGGGGCTCCGCGGGGCCCAGGCGTCCTCCGAAGAGACGTCGGAGTCCAGGGTGAACGGCGCGCCGCCCGCGCCCGCCGCAGTGACTGTTTGGGGCGGAGCCACTTTGGATCCGCAGCGGCCGGCCGGGTCTGTGCCCACCCCTGCATGCCGAGGGTGTAGGGGCCTAGCCCACCAGGAGAACACCACAGACGGTGACCTTTGCCTGATTCCTGTGCAGTCTCCCCTAGGGACCAGCTAGGTTGCAGCAGTCTCCTCAGTGGCCGCGCAGGTGGCTGGAGGACAGGGCGCTGGGCTTTCCTGAGCACCAGGATGAGTCTTGCTGTGGTGGTGCCGACAGCCAGGATGCTTGCCCCTCAGCATAGCAGAGACCCAGTTCCCCGCCTGCCCCTCTCCCCACTCCCCAAGCTTTACCCAGGGCTAGGACTCCTGCCTCCCACCTTTCCACAAAAGGGTGCACAGTACTCTGGTCATCTTGGTGGGGTCTCCCCATGCCTTAGAGAGCAGGACTGTGGGTCAGGTCTCTCAGGAGAGAGGACACTGGCTGGGCTCCCCCTGCAGCTGGCCCTAACTCCAGAGCTTGGCTAGGAGGTTCTTAATAGTACTCCTTGTGACAGGTCCTGTAGAGCCTAAGAGTGCAGTGTGGACAGGGACACATTCTGTCCTTGGGGCAGGTTCCCACAGGCTCCTCCCTGCTGGCAGGTGTAAGGGTCACCCAGGACCCTGGAAAAATGGCTGGAAGTAGTTGGGTGCAGCCCCACTGTTCAAAACCTGATTCTAAGCATGGCATGCTGGGGTGCACCTGTACTTACAGCTACTCTGGAGGTGGAGACAGGAGGATCACTTAAATCCAAGAATTGGAGGTCAGTTTGGGCCACATAGTGAGACCTCATTTCAAAAAACAAAACAAGACCTGGCTCCAGGGCCAACCAAGTCAGCTGAATCAAACTTTGTCACTGCCCCCCCTGGGTTGTTTAGGAGTTAGGATCAGTAGTCAGGGTGGGTTGGGGAGCACAGGAAACCACAGTTGGAGAAAAGACATCTCATAGTTGAGTGGCCTTGGCCAGCTGGCCCTGCTCTTTCTCTGGGCACCGCATAGGGTCTGCAACAGCCCTAGCCCTAGCCCTAGCCTCAGGAGGAGGGGAGACACAGCCAGCAGACCTGTTCCAGCCCCAGGCTGGGGTGGCATCTGTCTTTGGAACCTGGGTTTGGAGGTGCATGCTCATTTGTCAAGGCCTGGGTGTGGGTGGGGCGCCTCTATCTCCCCTGCCCCCCTGTGTCCCTCAGGGAGATCTGGGGGTGCATGGCCACAAGGAGAAGACCACAGCCTGGTGCTGGTGGAGGTGGGTTTTGTCAGGACTTCAGGTGTCCCTGAATCAAACTTTGTCACTGCCCCCCTGGGGTGTTTAGGAGTTAGGATCAGTAGTCCTCAGGCTGCGTCTGCCCTCAGGCTGTCTTGCCTTCACTCTCGTGCAGCCGGTGTCCTGTTGGCTCACTGAGCACGTGCCATGCGTTCACAGCAACGCTGGCCCCAACACGTACCGCCCTGTGTTCTGGTACCTCACGCGTCAGAGTACTCGCTTCATGTTGGGTGCTTAGACCAGAGCAGGTCTGGGTTGGGCCACATCTTCCCAGAGCTGATGAGTCAGCCCTGTGGCTGCTCTAACCACCAAGTGGCCTCTGATGGGTCCTCCATGAACAGATTGTGGGAGTGGCCTTCCTGCGTGTGTGCCTACCACATGCCTAGAGGGCACACCTTCCTCTGGCGGTCTCTCCAGGGACGTCGGACTTCTTCAGAGCAGGCCAGGCTGCACCATCTGGCCCTGGCTTTGGTGGCACTCCTGTCTTCCAACAGCTAGCTTCTCAATTTTTACTCTTCTGCATTGACATTTGCCTGTTGGGTCCCTGCCCACCCTGCCCAGGGCCTGCCTGCCCTGAACTCCCTCCTCCTCAAGGCACTCAGGGACCCAGCCTTGGACACTTGTTCTGAAATCTGGCTCCATGTTGCACCAGGCCCTTGTCACATTCAGCTGCTGTTGGGATTTGTCCTGTTCTTCTGCCCATCTCTCCACCAGATGATGGCTCACTCCTGTGCTGCGGCATGCAGTTGGCTCAGCTTGACAAAGCAGGTAGGCGGGGACTTTGAAGTCTTGGCTCTAGCTCTCCCAGGAGGGGCTTGACAAGCTGTCAAATCACTTGTATATTTTGAAGTCAACATCTAAATTTTTTAAAAAATAAAAAATATAAATAATTGCAAAGAAGGTAATTTCTTGTGGGGTATAAATATTGATGCTCTAAAATAAAACTGTTAGTCACTTCTGTCAACGTACCCAAGAAGCTAAATACCAAAGTGGTTTTTTACCCACCATCAATCAGCCACAAAATCCATAAACACTTTTTTTCTAGGTTAGAAATCTTCTCTGAACATCTCTCCCTTAGCTCATCCTAGGCATCTCGTTTTGCCCAGAACCATGTCCTCCAGTGACATGTTTTTATTACTTAAAAGTTTCTATTGACCCTTTATCAGAAGGTGTGACAAATAAATACATGTAAGTTTTAGTAAGCTAAATATTTAAAAAACAGGGGCTGGGATTGTGGCTCAGTGGTAGAGCGCTCACCTAGCATGGGTAGGACGGTGGTTCAATCCTCAGCACGACATAAAAATAAAATGCATTGTGTTGTGTCCATCTACACCAAAAAATAAATATTAAAAAAATATTTAAAAAACGAACCATTTTTAACCTTTTTTTTTTTTTGCTTGCAGTGACCTAAAGCTCATGCATGCTCCCTTTACAGGGTGGAGGTAAGTGATAAGGCCATTTGTGTGTGGAGGGAGCAGACCCGCAAGGAGGCCTCGGTGTGTGGCTGCTGAACTCTGGGCACGTGAGCTGTCTCGTCCTGGCCCTCCTTGCAGGAGTGCTGGGGCAGCTGGAGCACAGGTGGAGCCCACCCTCCCAGGTGACAGGCGCTTCCTGCAGTTGCTGTTGAGGGGAAGCTGGCTGTTGCTTTGCCAGCCCCTGACGCCTGAGCACCAGCTTCTGGCAGCAGCTGCTGCAGTCCCTCCACTTGGGGGGGGTCCCATCCACCTGACAGAAGTCACACAACTGTGAGGGCGCCCGTGAAGTTCATATTACCAGCACACGCCCCGTGTGCCACCTTGCTGAGCTCCTGGCCCATGTCCCTGCTGCCTTCCCCACAGGAGGTCTGTGTGTGCCCGGGTGTGGAGGTGAGATCAGCACAGAGGGGACAGGCATCACCAGCTCAACTGCCCCTTGCAACATGTGGGGCAGGGAAACTGCCCAAGGGAGCTTCTGACCCCTGTGACTTCTGACACTGGGCTCCCCACCCGGCACCCTTGGTGAGAAACAGCTCTGGGAAACTGGATAGAGCCCAGTGGAGAAGGGACAGTCCACCTCCAGCTGACTGGCCAGGAGGCCACACCCCCAGCACACAGGCTACACCAGCACCACCTTCTTGAGGGCTGCAGAGCTCTCCACATGCACGCTGGCCCCAATGCCCTGCATTCCCTTCGGCAGTGTCTTGGTTACTCTTGGTCCTTTAGGTCACGACACATTCTAAACCAGTTTGCTGTGCACTTAGGAATCTGATTGGATGACAACAGCTCTGCTCTTCCACAGGTCTTTGTAAGGCTCTGATCATGACCACGAGCCTCCCTCTATCCCCTGGATAATGCCTTGCAGTTGTCTGTGAAGGGACCTTGTGCATTTTCTATTATAGTTGTCATGGATATCTGAATTTGTGGTATTATTGTAATGACATCTTTGTACATAGTTTGTTTTCTGCTCAGTGCTGGCCTGTGGAAGTGACATGGGCTTTTGTATGATGACCTTATATCCAGTGACGTGCTAAGCATGCCTGTCAGTTCCAGCCTCTGGATCGTGCTCATTTCCTATGTAAGGAGGTTCGACTTCTTGGAGGCTGGTCCTTGTCACGTTCCTTCCTCTTCCTTGGTACTCCTGCCGGGACCTCATATACTATAACTGAATGGCAGTGGTCTGGTTCCTGATGTTCTAGTTCACACTAAATGTAATTTTGCTGAGTTTTTTTTTTTAATCTCCCTTTAGCAGAGTAAGCTTCCTTCCACTGCTCTTTGCCAAGGGTTCTTTTTAAAACCACAAACAGTCGTTGGATTTTGTCAAATGTGCTTTCTGCACCCATTAAGATGATTGTGACATCTCCCTTTGTTCTGCTGACATGCTGGAGCCCCAGATAGATGTTTGATGCTCCTGGAATAGATGCACACAATTGTGACCCTTCATCTTTCCTAACACTGCTGGGCTGGGTGGAGGGTTCTAGGGCAGGGTCTTGGCTTTGCTTTCATTGCCCTGTAATTGTCTTTCTCTCACCATCCTCATTGACTGTAAGTACAGGTGGTGCTTGCTTGTGGGTAAGGGACCGTGTGTCTTTTCCTGTTCTCTGGAACAGTTCCTGGAAAACTCCCTTGATTCTTCCTGCATGTTTGGTAGAATTCTCTGATGAAGCCATCAGCCATTTGCGCAGAGATGCCTTTTATTATGGGACAGTTTCAAATTATGTTTCAGTTCCCAGTTATGTAACCATGAAGTTGTTCAGCTCCTTCTTCCCTAGGAGTTCTTGGTCCCGTCTCTCAGGACTGCCTCTGGGCACTCCCAGCCTGCCCTCTTGGCCCTCTTGAGCTGCGGGCCACTAGAGCCCCTCCAGCTCCTGCATGTGGCCACGTGCCTTTCTTCTTTGATCAGATTTTTTTAGGGCTGTTGACTTCATTCATCTTTTTATAGAACATGTCATTTTAGTTTATTAATTTCTGCTCTTCTCTGTATTATTTCCTTCTTTTGAATTTCTGCCAAGGGGGGGTTCTGTTCTGTTCTCCAGGTGGGTGTTGATCTGACCATTGATCCTCTCTCCCGACCTCTTCTCTCTAGGCACAATTTTAGCATGACAGGGGTTGACATCACCATGTTCTGGTCACTCAGGTCAAATGTTTTCTTGAATTCCAATTGTGGGGTGTTTCCTGGTCACCTGGATGGGCTCCCTGGTACACGTTCCCCATGCCCCATATTCTCCCAACCCTGAGTTCACAGGGCTCCTGTCTTCACTGCCCCATACCCTTCTCCTTTAGTCTGTTTGTTCTTCTAGCCCTGGAAAGGTACGTGATAACCATTTTCTGTGATGAGAACTGGCTTCTGCTAAGTCAGCCTGTTCTGATGTATTTGTTGTTACACATGCAAAGCACAAGGTGTTTTAAATTTTCCTATTGAAATTATCGTTATGAAATGCACTTTTTGTGAATCTGGGCAAATACTTCTTGCCCTAAAAAGTATTTGGGAAAATATTCAAGGGCCAAAATCAGCAGTGTTTGATTAGGCAAGACTTTTGTTTATTCTTTTATTCTTACCTTCCTATATCCTGATATTTAAGTTGTAGATTTTGTTAACAGTAATCAGAGACATAAAGATGTAAATGAGATCCAGCGTGACCATTTTTGTGTTTGAACTGGGACATTTACTGTGTTTATATTTAATCTAACTACTGATATATTTGCATTAAATCTGTCACTTAATTTCTTTTTCCCCTTGTTCTATGTTCCTTTTTCTTTCTTCTGTCTTAAGTTGCATTGTTATTGTATCTGTTTTTCATCTTTGTTCATTTGCAAGTTTGTAGAACTTCTGGAATCCCTGGCTTGTGTTCTTAGTCAATTTTGGAAAGTTTTGTCTTTAGATATTGTTTCAACCACTTTTTCTTATACTCTATTCACCCCCTTTCTCTTAGTGCACCCATAAGGCCTTAATATTTGTATTCCAACTACATTTGTGATAGATCTGCTCATACTATTCTCCACATCTTTTCCTCTCTTTTCTGAATTTTCTTTTTGCACTTTATTTTGTATATTTTCATATGGTCTATCTTCTAATTCACAAACTCTCTCTTTAATTTTGTCTAATCTACAATTCAATCTATTCATTGAATTCTTTTAGTTTTTTTTTTTTTTGTGTGTGTGTGTGTGGTGGGGGGGAGTATAGAACTCAATCATATTAGATCATTAAAGGTTTTGGATTCTTTGCCAAAATTCTCAGCCTAATCTTTTATATCCTTGAGTATGGTGAGCAAGTTAAGCATGTGTCTGAAAACTCCAATAGTGGGAGCCCTTGTGGGTATTTTCCTTAGCTCTGTTGTTTCTGCTGCTTTTTATTTATGTGGTTTTTTTTTTTTTTAAATCATGTGCTTGTTGTTGTGTTTGCAAAAGTACTCTTGGAAATCATTTGAGAACTAAGATATTTGGTCTTCCCCAAGAGGGGGCCTGAGTTCGTTATTTGCCACAGCTTATGCTAATGTATTTTAAAGTAGATTCTATAACAGGGGCTCCTTGAGAATTGGAGTTTCAAAGCAGGTTCTGGTCATTGTCCTGGTGAGCTCTGTTTTGTTTCCAGTCTCTTCTCCCTCCCGCCACCTCCCTTTCCCCCTCTCCCCTCTCCCCCTCTCCCTCCCTGTCTCCATCTCTCCCCCTCTCCCTCCTTCTCTCCCCCTTTCCTTCTCCCTCCTTCTCTCCATTTCTTTCTCCCTCCCTCTCTCCCTGTCTGCCTCTCCCCTGTCCCCTCTGTCCCTCATTCCCTCTCCATGTCCCTCTCTCCCTCTCCCTCTCTCTCTCCCCCCTCCCTCTCCCCCCTCTCTCCCTCTCTCTCCCTCTCTCCATTTCTCCTCCTCTCCCTCCTTCTCTCCCCCTTTCCATCTCCCCCCTCTCTCCCTGTCTTCCTCTCTCCCTCTCCCCCATCCCCTCTCTCCCTCTCTCTCCCTTGTCCCCTCTCCATCTCTCTCTCTCTCTCCCCCTCTCCCCCTCTCCCCTCTGTCCCTCATTCCCTCTCCATGTCCCTCTCTCCCCCTCTCTCCTCTCTCTCCCTCTCCCCCTCTCCCCTCTCTCTCCCTCCCTCCCTTTCTCTCCCTCTCCCTCCCTCTCTCCTCTCTCTCCCTCTCCCCCTCTCCCCTCTCTCCCTCCCTCCCTTTCTCTCCCTCTCCCTCCCTCTCTCCATCTCTCCCCTTCTCCCTCCTTCCCTCCCCCTTTCCATCTCCCCCTTTCTTCGGTCTTCCTCTCTCCCTCTCCCCATCCCCTCTCTCCCTTTCTCTCCCTTGTCCCCTCTCTTTGTCTGTCTCTCTCTCTCTCTCCCCTTTGCTCTCGCTCTCTCTGAGCCATTTCTCCTCCCCAGCTGATCTCCAGTTTCGGGAGCAGCAAGTTCTGCATGTGGATCATCTTGTGACAGAAGCCAAAGTTGCCCCTCAAACAATGATGACCTCCCGGTGCCATCAGGACCATTCAGTTAGCAGTCAGCCGGACTCAGTTTAACCAAGACTGAGTGACCACGCACACTTCTGGCCCTCCCTAGTTCTTCCTCCATACAGTGTCCTGAAGAAGGCTTAGGACACCAGCCCTCGTTCCTTCCCAGTGTGGCCACACTGAGCAGACTCCTTCACTGTCTCTCCACCACTGTCCCTGTGCTGACTGGGCAGTCATGGTGAGTGTCCAGACCTGGCCTGTTGGACCGGAGCCCAGCCCTCTGGCCGAGGATTCCATAAACAACTCCAGACATAACTGCAAAGAATAAATCAGACCTTATATTAGGACTTGACAGGTGTTTTGAAGGGAAAAAAGCACTTTAGAGAATAGGGATGCTGGAGGTCAGGTGTATGTGAGGTCACATTTGGCCTGTTTCTAGAAGCAGGGAGGGACGGAACCATGCAGAGTTGGGGAGGAGCACTCCTGGCAGAGGGACAGCCAGGGCAAAGGCCCTGAAGCAGACATAGAGAGCAAAGAGGCCTGGGGTGGAAACGGGTAGTGGACTGTCACTGAGCAGCGGTGGGAGGCTCATCGTAGGGCCTCGCCTGCAGAGGGGTGGGTGTCTGCGTTCATGTTCCAAGGCTGCTATGGTGAAGGGCTTCATCCAGCATTGGTCTCCGGCAATCCTAGGGCCGGAGTCTAGAAAGTCCAGCTGTTGGCCAGGCCACAAGGTGGGCCTCTCCCAGGCTCCTGCTGGCTGCCACAGCCCCCAGCGTTCCTTGGCTGTGGCATGACACTGCAGTCCCTGCTCTGCCCTCACGTGGCGACTCCCATGTGCCCATGTGTGTCTGTGACCAAACTTCCCTCTTCCATGAGGACACATCGACACCAGCACCACTCATCTGAACTAGGTGAAGTCTGCAAGGACTGTATTTCACAGAGGCCTGGGTAAGGGAGACCCTTATTGGGTTTATAGGTTTATTCTAAAGGATATTATGGAAGCTACAGCTGAACAGCCAATGAGGTGAGGTGCGCTCTCTTCTGCACAGGGCTGAGGATCATGTAAGGGGCTCCTGAGTCCTGCACAAGAGTTTCCACCAGCGGGGTCACCAACTCCTCCCCACAGGGTTCCAACCCCATCTCTGGTATCTCTGGTGATAGGCCCTATCCTGAGGTTCCCTGGGGGCCCTACATCACCTCATTAGCATAAACTCCAAGTCTTCAAAGGGCTCCTTGGGCTCCTGCCACTCAGAGAGTCTCAGAGTCTTGCCTCTGCAGGTGGGATTGACCCTACCAGTTCTTCCCTGGCCAACTCATTTGTAGGACCCTCATAAGACTTCCTGGGGGAGGCAGGGGCCCAGGGGGCTCTTGTTCTCACTAACCAGCTCTGGCGTCCCAGGCTGGACTGGGGCCTTGCTTCAGGGAGCTGCAGAGCCACAGGGTCCTGGTGCAGGGCTCTCTACTCTGCCACTTTAGATGGATACCCCTGTGTGGTGGGTTACACACCAGGGTAGAGAGGGCGCCCAATGCTCTGTCTCTGAAGGTATCCGTGTGCTTATGTGCACACATGCACACACACACACGCACATGAAGGTCAGCTCCCAATTGGGTACTCTCGTGTGCTCACACTCGTGCACATACCCTCCCCCCCCCCAGACAGCACGCCTCACACACCCAAACACACACACAAGAGGGAAGAGACACATGGAGGCTGCAGACAGGGGCAGTGGGCAGCCCTCCTGTTCCAAGGCGTTCCTGGTGCAGCTACACGTGAGCCTACACACTGAAAACAACGCACAGGTGGAGTGTGTCACACACTGGTCCCACGCGGACCCACGAGGCTGAATCAACATTGAAAAGCAACACAGTTAGTGTTTAATGCTGAATTCTTTGGTCGAATGATGAGGTGCTCTCTCTTCTGCCAGGGGCATTGAGGGCAGAAAGGACATGAGGGGCCCAGGGAAGCATACTGAATGAGGCTCAAATCCCCTGGACCCTCCTTCTCGTCAGGGGCGAGAGACACACACAGGATGCTATTGACCAGTCTCACCCAGGACAGACAATGGCAAACACTGTATTTTCAGGAAGGTATGCTTTGGTGCAGACCGTCAGGGTCCACGTGTCGCTATGGAAGCAGGCGGGAAGGTGCACGGTGACAGGGACTGACCCTGCCTGGTGGCCCTCGCTGCCCGGTGCTGACTGTCTGCATGGAGGAGTCCATGTTGGGTGCAGGTGCTGTGGGAGTCACAGCATCTCTTTTGGGTTTCCAAGTGTTGGGTCCCAGGTTCTTGCTCAGATACCAAGTGCCGGCCTCTGGATGGCTGCCCACCACAATGCTGCAGAGCACCTGCTTGAAGGCACTCCACATATCCATGCCCTCTCCTCTGAGATGCACGTTAGAAAGCTCTGATCCCCTGAAGCCACCTGCCCAGCTGGCAGAGCAGAGCACATGGGTGAAGCACACAGACAGCAGATTCTGCTGCTGACACCCACAGCTGCAGTGAAAACCCATGCTTGGGGCAGCTGGAAAACACCTAATTCTCTGTGTGCACATGTGCATGGCATGTGCATGGCATGTGCATGTACCTGCACGCACACACATCACATTGTGTACAGTACAGGCACTCTCATGCATGTGTGTGATGTGCACACTGAATGTGTGTCTGCACTTGGTCATGTATGCACATGTTCTGGTGTGTGTGTGTGTGTGTGCACATGTGCCACAGACTGGGAGGGGAGAAGGAATGGAAGGGCTGTGTGATCTCATAGGCACGCCCCCCGGACCCATGGGCTCCTGCCTTGGGAGGACACTGCCCAGGGATGGGTCACTTGCTTCCATAACAGACTCCTCGTCATCAACGTCTGTCCTTTGATTTGGGGCTTTGTTCCTAGATATTCATGGAAATGCAAAAGAGAAAAAGAAATTTTGTCTGGTGACCTCACCCCCAATTAGCCCCTCTTCCTTGTGCAAGGGAACTTGCTAGTATGTGCCCACACTGGAGCAGAACCCAGGCCTGACAGTGGCTGGTGGAGGAAGCTGAATCTCCATCGAGAAGGATCTGGGCATCTTGCAGAGGCACGGCCTTGAGACCCACCCATGAAGGCCGGCAGCCATGAGCTGCTCTTCCCCACAGCTCCAGAGTGGGGCTCATCTTCTAGCACCCAAGGTGTTCTCGGGCTACAGGGTGGGCTACCTCCAGGGCAGGGCTGGCTTGGAGGCAGGGAGTGGGCAGGGGCTCCTGTGGGTGCCCACATGTAGCTGACAGACATAAGGATGGCAGAGGGGTCTGCAGACAGTGCTCAGCATAAGCGTGCTCTGGAGAAGCAGCAGCCCCGCTCTGGAATGAACTCAGAACACCCTCACTGAACACCTGGGAATGTCCACAGGGGCCCTGCTGAGGGCTCCTGGTCACCGCCCTGCATTTTCGGGCCTGGGGTCTGGGGGGCTCCTTTGATAGAATCCCATGCTGTGTTTCTGGGCTGCCCTGGGGACTGGACTCTACAAACGGAGAGTGGGTGACAGTACGTGGACAGCCAGGCCCACCTGGGCTGGTGCAGCTGTGGCCCAGAGTGTTTCTCCCTGGGGTCTTCACAAAGAGGGTCTTGGTGATGGCGTCTGAGCCACATCTGAAAGGCCCAGTCACTGGTGACCCCCAGTCCCTGTTAGATGGCAGATGGCCCCTGAAGCTGAAGCTCCTTGGGGACATGGTGGCTCTGGGGAGGCCCATGTGCTCCCACTCCAGTTACACTGTAGTTTCATTTTTCCAGGGCCCCGTCCGGATGTTGCCTGTCCCATCAGTGCTGAACGGCAGGCCTTCTCGGATGTCACCCTTGAGCAGCCCGTTCTGGCCAGGGCTTCCGAAGGGCAGGGACTGTGTCCTGCGGAGCATCTCCAAGTGGGCTGGGCCTGGAGGCAGCCGTGGTGGGCAGCCATAGAGGGCAGAGCTGGCGTCGCTGCCCTCAGGCTGGCTGACCATGGGGAAGGGGTCGCCTGGGGTGCAGCAAGCCAGAGTGTGCACCCCCATCGGGCCCTCAAGGGAGCTGGGGGGACTGTCTGTGCGGGAGCTGTGGGGGCTGCCGTCCAGGCTGGATGGGATGTGGTAGGCGTATTCCCGTGGGGCCGAGGCAGCAGGGTGGAAGTAGTGGGGCTTAGTTCTGCCCTCGAGGCACCTGTGCAGGTGGGGCTCATGTAGGAAGGCCTCTCCCTCAGGCATGTGACTGTGGGCCTCGTCCTCCATCAGCTGCTCACAGTGCATCTTGGCACAGCAGGGGGTGGCTGGCGACAGGCAGCTGGCGTGGCCCTGGGCGGCCTGCAGGTTGGTCATCTTGCAGTGGCCTGGTGCTGGGTGGCTGAAGCCCCTTGCCTGGCCAGGGCACGGTGAGTCCTGCAGGCAGGCCATGTGCCCCAGCACGTCCCCGTTGGCATCGAGCGTGGGGTGTGTGCTGGGCTGTTGGGGGACGTCCCCACGGGAGGGGCAGCAGGACCACCAGCACTGCCACACATCCTCCCGCTTGGCACAGTGGTGGATGAGCACGAAGAGCCCCAGTGTCACGCAGAAGGCGCCGTACAGACAGCTGAAGACCATGTCCAGGAAGTGGCCCTGAGACACAGCCAGCGCCCCGAAGGCCCAGGTGGCCATGAAGAGGAACAGTGTGAAGGCCGCAGCCCGCAGCTGGGCCTTGAAGGAGTGCTCATTCTGCAGCTGCGAGGCGGCCAGTGGGTCACAGGCAGGCGTTGTGCAGGGCTGCGCCCCGTGGCGGTGGCCCCCCTCAGGCACCGCCAGCCGCTGTTGCTCCTCCGAGCGCTCTCTGAGCTCGTACCTGCGCTCCGGGTGGCGTCTCAGCTGGATGTAGGTGCCAAGGAAGTACACACAGGTGACCAGGACGATGAAGGCAGCGGGGCCGTAGAATGCGCCCAGGCTAGGCTCCCAGGCCATCCAGCAGCTGCAGGGAGACGTGGGTGAGTGCAGCCCCGGGGCACCTGCTCCCGAGCTCCTGGGGCCAGGGACCTCAGCTCGCTGCTTTACTTTTGTGGTAAGGAAACAGAAAAGGGAAGGTGCAGGGCACTGAGGCCCGTGAGTGCTGAGATGCAGGCCCTGGCTGACCGCCACCCCATCTTGGTGACACTGAGACAGTTTGGATGGGCATCTGTGATCCGACTGGTCAACTGGTAGTCCTGCATGCATGGGAGGCTAGCGGGACTGTGGGACTGTGTTCTGGGAGGGGAGGTGGCAGAGGCAGAGCTGGGGTAGGTGGGGTTTGGGGACAAGGGGCCTGAGAACAGGGCTTCATGGGCAGGCTGGATGTCCTATGCCCAGGGAGAAGCTCAGGGTGGGTGCTGAGAGGGTCAGAGGCTGGGGAAGGTGACATTGGTGGTGTGGCCAAATTCTTATCTGTCCCCCAGACTTTTCCTATGTAGAGAAAACCAGGCCTTGGGTGGCCAAGGAAAGAATTCCGTGGGAAGCTGAGTCTTCAAGGAAGAGAGGGCTCTGCACACCCAGGGGAGGGGCGTGGGGCACAGCTCTGAGTGGCCTCGGGGCTCAGGGACCAGGACTTGCAGCTCCTCTCCAGGGGTCCTCACCACAGGCACCTTGGGGATGGTCACTGACAGCTGGATACCACTGTGGGCACCTGCCTGGGGGGAGCCAGGAAAGTGGCTGCAAGTGCCCACCCTCCACTCTCCTGGCTGCCAGCACTCACTAGGCTGTGTCTTCATCTTCGGTCCCATAATTCCTGATGTTTGTGGCAGCAGTGACCCCACAGATGACGAAGGGGACGCCTCCACTGATGAGGTAGAACCTGCCAGAGAGCAGAGGGCGCTGATGGCCAGCAGAGGGCGCTGACAGCCGGCCGTGGGCACAGGCTGCACCTCCAAGAGGGGCAGCTTGGTTTTCAAGCCATCTTTGGGGCAGTGAGAGGAGGCCCAGGGGACCCATGGAGCAGCACCCCCCATGGACAGTGAGCATGGCCACAGGAGCCCGGCCGCTCCCCTTGGGAGCTGCTAGTGGGCCTGTGGCTGCTTTGGTCTGCTGCAGACCACTGGCCCCAGGGAACCCAGGGTGGAGGGGGTCTGGGTAGGTTCACTCCTGGCAGTGAGGACAGGCTATCGGCGACACCACTTGGACTGTCCCTAGAGTCCCTGGGCCGGGCGCTGGTGGCTCAAGTCTCCTCTGGACTTGCCCAGCAGGGCCTGGGTGGTGCCCCTCCTGTCTGTCCTTGTCCGGTGACTGTGCAATCCTGGCCACAGGGTGAGGGCTTCTGCCCCTCCAGCCCTCTGGCTGTTGGGAGAGCTGTCACTTGGAGCCAGGGTCCTCCCGGACAGCAGTTCATCCTGGTGGGCTGACATTCCCCTCAAAGAGCCCTTGGCTAACAGCTCCCCCAGAGCAGAGAGGGGTCTGACCTGCAGGCCGGCACACCACCCTGGGCCAGCAAGGGGCCCCACAGAGCTGCCATCTGCTGAGAAGATGGGCAGCTGCCCGTCTGGGTACTTCAGACCCTCTGACTGGCAGTGTGTCCCACAAGCACCACCCAAGGGCTGGGACTGGGAGGCCCCATGGGGAATCCAGGCCACCCAGAAGCTCCCTGGACCTAAGAAAACAGTCTTCGAGAATGAAAGAGAAATCAGATTCTCTGAGAAGATTGGGGAACTTGGGAGGCCTGGCGGCCGTCACTCCCTCAGGGAGGGCCTCAACACTGCTTGGGAATCGGGGTCCCCTGGGACTGGCACAGGGGCCCGTGGGCCTGGGGTGCCAGGCGCTCTGGGTGCTTCACGTGAGTGGTACGACTTTACACAGGTGTGAAGGAGTGGATGGCAACCCCGAGAAGGTGATAGGAAAACAGCCACTGAATTAATTAACACAACATTGTAAAAAGTGCTACAGCAGCACTGACGAGGAAAGTTGGAATGAGAAACAACAAAGAGAACCACGCACACTGTCCAGAGGCACAGCGGAGGCTGCTCCAGGATTTCTGCCAAGGCACTGAGCAGCACCTGATAGAGGGACACCCTCCCAGGCTCCCCTGGACATGCTCACGGTGTGCTCTGACACACACGTTCCCAGCACCCAATCTTCCTGGGATCTCCCTGGGTTATCTGGGTTGATGTGGTCACTTGGTGTGTGTCATACTGTGCACAGTCATGTGAGAGGGCGAGCCCCATGTGACTTCCTGTAAGTGAAACTAACACACCAGGAACCAGAGACAACATTCACCCGCACCTACTGACCAGCTTGCAGGGCATTTACTGACCAAAATGCACAAAAATAAGACAGACGATGTGGAATGCATAAACAGGTGGAGGGTGAAGGACAGGTGGAGTGTCAAGGACAGTGGAGGGTGAAGGACAGGTGGAGGGTGATGGGCAGTGGAGGGTGAAGGACAGGTGGAGGGTGAAGGACAGTGGAGGGTGATGAACAGTGGAGGGTGATGGACAGTGGAGGGTGAAGGACAGGTGGAGTGTGAAGGACAGAGGAGGGTGAAGGACAGGTGGAGGGTGAAGGACAGTGGAGGGTGATGGACAGTGGAGGGTGATGGACAGATGGAGGGTGATGGGTAGTGGAGGGTGAAGGACAGGTGGAGTGTGAAGGACAGTGGAGTGTGATGGGCAATGGAGGGTGAAGAACAGTGGAGGGTGAAGTACAGGTGGAGGGTAATGGACAGGGGGAGGGTGATGGACAGGTTGATGGTGAAGGAACGTGGATGGTGATGGGCAGTGAAGGGTGATGGACAGTGGAGGGTGAAGGACAGGTGGAGGGTGAAGGACAGTGGAGGGTGAAGGACAGTGGAGGGTCAAGGACATGTGGAGGGTGAAGGACAGTGGAGGGTGATGTGCAGTGGAGTGTGATGGACAGGTTGAGGGTGAAGGACACGTCGAGGGTGAAGGGCAGTGGAGGGTGAAGGACAGGTGGAGGGTGAAGGACAGTGGAGTGTGATGTGCAGTGGAGGGTGAAGGACAGGTGGAGCTGAAGGACAGGTGTAGGGTGAAGGACAGTGGAGGGTGGAGGACAGGTGGAGGGTGAAGGACAGTGGAGGGTGAAGGACAGTGGAGTGTGAAGGACAGTGGATGGTGAAGGACAGTGGAGGATGAAGGACAGTGGAGGGTGAAGGACAGGTGGAGGGTGAAGGACATTGGAGGGTGATGTGCACTGGAGGGTGTAGGACAGGTGGAGGGTGATGGACAGTTAGAGTGTGAAGGACAGGTTGAGGGTGAAGGACCGTGGAGGGTGAAGGACAGGTGGAGGGTGAAGGACAGTGGAGGGTGAAGGACAGTGGAGGGTCAAGGACATGTGGAGGGTGAAGGACAGTGGAGGGTGATGTGCAGTGGAGTGTGATGGACAGGTTGAGGGTGAAGGACACGTCGAGGGTGAAGGGCAGTGGAGGGTGAAGGACAGGTGGAGGGTGAAGGACAGTGGAGTGTGATGTGCAGTGGAGGGTGAAGGACAGGTGGAGCTGAAGGACAGGTGTAGGGTGAAGGACAGTGGAGGGTGGAGGACAGGTGTAGGGTGAAGGACAGTGGAGGGTGAAGGACAGTGGAGTGTGAAGGACAGTGGATGGTGAAGGACAGTGGAGGATGAAGGACAGTGGAGGGTGAAGGACAGGTGGAGGGTGAAGGACAGTGGAGGGTGAAGGACAGTGGATGGTGAATTACAGGTGGAGGGTGAAGGACATTGGAGGGTGATGTGCACTGGAGGGTGTAGGACAGGTGGAGGGTGATGGACAGTTAGAGTGTGAAGGACAGGTTGAGGGTGAAGGACCGTGGAGGGTGAAGGACAGGTGGAGGGTGAAGGAAAGTGGAGGGTGATGTGCAGTGTACAGTGAAGGACAGGTGGATGGTGAAGGACAGGTGGAGGGTGAAGGACAGTGGAGGGTTAAAGACAGGTGGAGGGTGAAGGACAGGTGGAGGGTGAAGGACAGTGGAGGGTAAAGTACAGGTGGACGGTGAAGGACAGTGGAGGGTGAAGGACAGGTGGACGGTGAAGGACAGTTAGAGGGTGAAGGACAGGTGGAGGGTGAAGGACAGGTGGAGGATGAAGGACAGTGGAGGGTGAAGGACAGTGGAGGGTGAAGGACAGGTGGAGGGTGATGTACAGGTGGAGTGCGAAGGACAGTGGAGGGTGATGATCAGGTGGAGGGTGAAGGAGAATGGAGGGTGATGTGCAGTGGAGGGTGTAGGACTGTTGGAAGGTGAAGGACAGGTGTAGGGTGAACGACAGTGGAGGGTGGAGGACAGGTGGACGGTGAAGGACAGTGGATGTTGTAGGACAGTGGAGGGTGAAGGACAGGTGGAGGGTGAAGGACAGGGGAGGGTGATGGACAGTGGAGGGTGATGGACAGGTGGAGGGTGATGGGCAGTGGAGGGTGAAGGACAGGTGGAGTGTGAAGGACAGTGGATGGTCATGGGCAATGGAGTGTGAAAGACAGTGGAGGGTGAAGGACAGTGGAGGGTGAAGGACAGGTGGAGGGTGAAGGACAGGTGGAGGGTGAAGGACAGGGGAGGGTGATGGACAGTGGAGGGTGATGGACAGGTGGAGGGTGATGGGCAGTGGAGGGTGAAGGACAGGTGGAGTGTGAAGGACAGTGGATGGTCATGGGCAATGGAGTGTAAAAGACAGTGGAGGGTGAAGGACAGTGGAGGGTGAAGGACAGGTGGAGGGTGAAGGACAGGTGGAGGGTGAATGATAGTGGAGGTTTAAGGACAGTGGAGGGTGAAGGACAGGTGGAGGGTGAAGGACAGTGGAGTGTGAAGGATACTTAGAGGGTGAAGGATAGTGGAGGGTGAAGGACAGGTGGAGAGTGAAGGAGAGTCAGAGGGTGAAGGACAGGTGGAAGGTGAAGGACACGTTGAAGTTGAAGGACAGTGGAGGGTGAAGGAGAGTGGAGAGTGAAGGACAGTTCGAGGGTGAAGAACAGTTGGATGGTGAAGTACAGTTAGAGGGTGAAGACAGGTGGAGGGTGAAGGACGGATGGAAGGTGAAGGACAGTGTAGGGTGATGGAGAGGTGGTGGGTGAAGGATAGTGGACCGTGAAAGACAGTGGAGGGTGATGGGCATTGGAGGGTGAAGGACAATGGAGGGTGAAGTACAGGTGGAGGGTGATGGACAGGGGGAGGGTGATGGACAGGTTGATGGTGAAGGACCGTGGATGGTGATGGGCTGTGAAGGGTGAAGGACAGTGGAGGGTGAAGGACAGTGGAGGGTGAAGGACAGGTGGAGGGTGAAGGACCGTGGAGGGTGATGTGCAGTGGAGTGTGATGGACAGGTTGAGGGTGAAGGACACGTGGAGGGTGAAGGGCAGTGGAGGGTGAAGGACAGGTGGAGGGTGAAGGACAGTGGAGGGTGATGTGCAGTGGAGGGTGAAGGACAGGTGGAGCTGAAGCACAGGTGTAGGGTGAAGGATAGTGGAGGGTGGAGGACAGGTGGAGGGTGAAGGACAGTGGAGGGTGGAGGACAGTGGAGTGTGAAGGACAGTGGTGGGTGAAGGACAGTGGAGGGTGAAGGACAGTGGAGGATGAAGGACAGGTGGAGTGTGAAGGACAGTGGAGGGTGAAGGACACTGGAGTGTGAAGTACAGGTGGAGGGTGAAGGACACTGGAGGGTGATGTGCAGTGGAGGGTGTAGGACAGGTGGAGGGTGATGGACAGTTAGAGTGTGAAGGACAGGTGGAGGATGAAGGACCGTGGAGGGTGAAGGACAGGTGGAGGGTGGAGGACAGGTGGAGGGTGAAGGACCGTGGAGGGTGAAGGACAGGTGGAGGGTGAAGGAAAGTGGAGGGTGATGTGCAGTGTTCAGTAAAGGACAGGT